AAAATCGTATGTGTAATTGTTGAATTTAATCGTCTAATGACATCAACATCAGCGATTCTCTTATGTGAGTGCACATGCCCATCATATAATTCGGCGCAACTAATGTGCGTCAGTGAATTTTCATTTATGTACAATTTTCACACACAATTTTGATGAAAACATTTCAACGTTTACGTTTTGTGATTTCTGTTGCCATCATTCGTCACATTCAAACAATAAACATTCAAAGAAAAAGTGATTTTTCGACGACACCATTTAAATTGCAAGAAAAGTGAAATTTATTTGTTAGACGAAGTAAGGATCGAAACGTTTTTAACATAACTTAAACCAGTTTTTAGATAGATCAAAACAAACATCGTAAAGTGGATAAAAGTGAAAATAGAACGATAAAATTTCGCTAATTGGCAACTTGTTCGACATCATTTCATCAAAACAATTCTACTTTTTATCGGATTATCCCATAGCGAGTGATAACGAAAAGGAAAGTATTTTTTGAAGGTTTCATCATGCTTAACTTTACTCATAAATTAACACACTTAGAAACATTCTATTTTGACGCTGTGTCTTGCCAAATTTAACATTCAGTAGTCAATTTTGGTAAATGATTACTGCAATTTAAACAAAAGAAAATTGCAACAAAGCCACACGAGATCAGCCAAGTGTGCATTCTAGTTCATATCAAAGTCAAACAATATATCTGCTTTACCTTGTGCCATGCAATTGTACAAGGCTTTAAGCACCTTTTATGCCATCATCAACGTCATTTTAACCGCGAATCTATCATTTTCTGCTTGTTGATTGTAATTTCATTATATGAAGGAACGACCGAACTGAGCACACTAAATTCTCTATCGTCACATGTATTTGACAGTATGACAGCAGACTCAGTTCAGTCTCATTCTTTGCGAAACGATAATGGTTTTTCACTGAAATTAAAGTTATTGCCTAAACAAAATAAAATTCATAAGTTGTTTTTTTTTCTTCTTCAAATTCATCGAATTGGATTATTTTAAGAATAGTGTTGGCCCATTTTAATTACGGTGCTAGTCTTTTTGAAGTTCAAATTATTCATTGAATAATTGTGGTTGTTCAGCCAAAAATTTGTAAAAAAGAAGAAGACAAATTATTACATACGTAAGATATGAACATGAGCAAAAAGTAATGAACACCAGAGGATGGACAAACGTTCATTCGTATTTGGGCAGCGAAGCGTTCCGACTTTGAGCATACTAATTTAAATTTTATTACACTTTTCAAGATATGCATACATTGACCAAAGTCAATGGGAGCCTCTTTAATTAGAGACTGCACGCGATCTACGCAAAGGCAATCAAAAGTATCATCAATCCTATTGACCATAACCGCAAACTGTGCCTGAGACAACAGACTGCAGGCAAAAGTCAAGCGGCCATATCGTCAATTGATCTAAGATGCGATCACCCACCTAGTCAATGCGTATATTTCATGGCAAACTGTTACCCAATCGTGACTCTTATTAAATTACTTCTCTGTTTCCAGTTTTCAACGAAATTGTTGGATTGCCGTGCCGAACAACAACAACATAGAAATAAAATACAAATGCTACATAATCGAATGTGTTACATGTAAACGTGTAAAAATATGTATACAATAAAATTAAATGATGAAAGTGAAGTCAAATCGCATCGCACCAAAAGACATGGTCTTGTTTTCGGCTATTCAAAAGCGTCTACATTATACACGGACATTCATGCGTGATGCATACAATGCGATACACTATTACCGCATACTTTGGTGAAAAAGTGGTAGCGCAACAGTTCGCAGATTTTGACTGGAAATGTTTTTTTTTTGGCATACACCCATACGAACGAATATCTGACGATAACGATCAGAAGAAAAACGAAATCCGTCACTTGTTGTTCAAAGTTATGCAAAGCATAAACTTTCCATTTCTTTTAAACCGTGTATCTTGGACGATGAATATGAAGAAGGGTGCCGTTTTTGATGCAGTCCTTGTACGAAGTAAACACACACAGAGATACATTAATGTGAACGATATGACTGTGCAACAAGTCGACATATTCGACAAGCATTTGCATTTTTGCATTCAACAAATCATTTGCAAATTGATATACAAAATATTTACATCAATTTAACGAGGCGAACACATATCCACACGCACAAATGTGCATCACACATTTTACGAATATCAAGTAGTCATTTGCCTGATGTGTTGTTTGCATTCGCATTCGTATGCTGTTGGAATGAATCGTTCGGGTATCGTTTATTTTTTGTGTAAGCGTTCCCATTTATTGTAGTTACTTTTTAAATCTCTGTTTATGCAGTTAAAAAGCGGAGCCACGGCTCACGTATGTAGAAAATACAGTGTCAGTCACATTCGAAGGTGGAAAAACCACCAAAGCACAACAAATAATGTGCATGTGATGTAAAAGTAAAATTGTTCCGAGCACAAACAATTGTTTTGCAAACGGAGTATAATAGGAAAAATCACAAAAAAAAACATACTACCATAAATCGAATGAAGTAGTTTTTGACTGTAGTTAATGGCTGTTACTGTCGGCTGCTGTTGTTTTAGTGTGGGTCTTTTGATGTACATTTCTTAAATACAAATCTGCAATTCAAATGTGAAATTTTGCTAACAAACATTTCCATCGAGAGCGTAAAATTGCATTTCTTGAGCATCACATTCGCACACATTTCGCGCGTTTTTTTTTTTCCTCTTCATCTTCGTGCTCATGTATGCGTTCATGTTTTTGGACTTGTATTCGCCCACACATCGAAGATGCGGTACTTTTTTTCGACAGCCCAAGTTGAAAACAAATTGAAAACAAAGATTGTTTCATAATCATTCCTCGTGTGAATTATGAATGGCTTCGAATCATTAAATCATTATTAATTTATGTCAAATGTTGAAATGGTTTTATTTCCATTGCAAGACATTCGCAACCATTCCTCAACTAAATTAATCAACACATTTCGAAAATGATGATTTTTTTTTTGTATTCCATTTTTGTCTTTCTTTTGATGGCGCAAATGTTATATCCACATGGATTATCATGGATTACACCTCCAAAAATTAAATAACTGCGTTAAAAATATTGGCAAGTGCTATCATGCCATTCTATGTATATTTGAATTGATTACCTTGCTTGTCATTATTTTTCCAACTCAAAAGAAATTTTCAGATAATTTAGTAGTAGTATGCATCATATAAATGAGTAACTAATTATTTAAAAAAAAAATTATTTAAATTGTATTCAATGGCAGCAATTGCGACCAATTCGCAAACAATGACAACTTCAAGGAGTTCAATAGACTTTTGTAATTAGCATAAAGAAAAAGCTTCATAATTCGCGGCACAGCTTCGTTTTAATGCGTTGAAAGCCACTTGTTGCGTGCATGTTGAGCGATTCGCTTCTGGTTTCCGTTAGTCATGTTTAAAGTGATTATCAAATCATAAAATCTATTGCAATTTTTATATTTGTATCGTTTTTTTTATTATCGTTTTGCTATTTATCCAAGTATGTCATTCCGTTCTTGCGCTTTTCCCTATCTCTCTTTAATAAAACATTTTGTTCTCGTTCGCTAAATATCATCTGATTATTTCTGAGCGAATGTTAACTGTGCAATTGCGTTCTCAAAGCATTTCTATGTTAAGTCATTTATTCGCGAGCTTATCCACCACGAATCATATGTCGATGACAGATTGCTTATCATTTAAACTTCAAATAATGAAGAAAACGAATGCGTTGGCGATGATCTTAATTGTTTTTCTGTTGTGAATTTCGATAAAATCGTCTAAGTCTTGTAATGTTCTCAATGTTCTTGTACAATGTTCTCTTTTTCTGTCATCAAAATACAAATTGAGCGACGCGCGACTAAACGCTTTCAAAATTTCGCTAGTAAATGTTGCAATGAATGGAAACAATAACGGCATCCATAATTTGAATGCGCTGCTGCTTCCAAGAGATGTTTGAGCGCCTTTGCATACACACTCACATATCAACTTGTACACATTGCTTTTCGGTTTGGTGGCAGTTCATGCGATGTGTGTTCTTGTTTCTTCTGCTCTTCTTTTTTTATTATTTGTTTATGGAGCACAACAAAATCAATACAGCGTAACGAAAATGGGCATAGTGCGGAGAGAGAGAGAGAGAGAAAAAAACACCAAACCATTTACCTAGCATATTATTCAAAGTGAAAAATAAGCAGCTAGCTCAAAAAGAGAACTCAAATGGAATACCACTTTATCATTGATCGAATGAATTTAATGTTGGAAATTTAGGCTAAATGGATCCGTTTTTTTGCTTTCTGCAGAACATACAATCGCATCAGAATGCGAGTGATGACGATACATTGAGAAAGAGAAACATAGCAATTACTTCGATCACAGAGGAAACATTTTGCATGCGATTCTCATTTTGAGTCATTATTTATTGATTTCACCTTGTATTTCACTTGTACGTTTTCAGCAGTTGTAACATTTAACGGCATTAAAGTACCGTCAATGCGCTGCATTGTTTTCGATCTTTTGAATTTGATTGCGTGAATTTTTCTACTAAAATACATTGAAACTGAAGAAACCGTGCATTTTCAACGCCAACTACAATTAAAAAAAAAAAAAACAATGCGGACATTTAATTGTTTCTTCAAAGATTGATCCGCTGTTACGAATGATTGGTGACTCGTCTTTTTTTTCTTGATTCCATTTTCAACAATCAAATGACGCGAATTGATGATAGACAATTACATTTTTCGACCATCATCGATGGAATTGTTTCATTTCAAATGAATTATTCCATTTTTTTTCGCATCATGTACGTACATGAGTTTCATTATATGATTATTATTTTTTTTTGTTTCGTAAATTTTATAGGTGGAAGAATATATAGGACCGAGCAGATGATAAATATTTGAATGCGGTTACAATGCGATTTGGATGGGAGCCATCGATTTGAATCGAACAAAAAACAGCTTCAAATAAGCTTAGAGAAAACGAAATGGATTACACATTTAAATTAATATCAGTGTTCGTCTTGGTGATATGTATTTATTTATGTGATGTGCGTGGCGACGAACAAACGTTGTGTCCACCGCAGAAGCTCATTTTACCATGTCGTTGTGCGCAAAAGTCTAACGAAATTCAATTATGGTACGTTATAATATGATATTCGATTTTATTTAATTTGTGTTTTTGTCCCAAATTCATGTGCATTCTTTGATATAGGTGTTCACACAGCGATTTACCTCGTGTTTTGAATGGCATGAAAGCAGCTGCCAAATTTATCGATCGCCCCATCGATGAGTTGATTTTAGAAAATAATCAATTGCCGTCGTTGCCAAGCCGATTTTTCTCGCCGTTACGCATTGTTCGGCTTATGCTACGAAATAATGGTGTTGAACGTTTGGCCACCGGATGGTTAAATGATTTGGAATCAAGTTTGGTGGAAATTTTCATAGTCGAACGTACACTACGCAGTTTACCATTCGATAGTTTGGTTGAGTGTAAAAAATTGCAGGCGGTCACAATTCAAAGCAATCATTTAAAACGGGCACCATCATTTATGGGACTATTCAATTTGCGATATATTAAAATTGAGGGCAGCGAACTGATGGAATTGCCACCGTATGGATTTGTTGAATTGCATTCATTAGAGAATGTTTACATTGGCAGTAGCCCAAAACTGAATCGTCTCGAAGCGGGAGTTTTTAAAAATTTGGATCTATTGAATACGCTAAATGTGAATGGCAATGGAATAAGTTGGATTCATTTGCGCGCATTCACCAATTTGCCGACAGTCAAAACGATCGACTTAAGTCGCAATGAAATTTCAGATGCTGGAATGATTGGTCGTGCAATTAAAGATCTTCCCAAACTTGAAATTTTAAAACTTGATCATAATTTTATATCAACATTGTCTGAAGGTACATTCGTTGATTTGGCGTACATAAAAGAATTGTACTTAAATGATAATTCAATTGCTGAAATTCATCATGGTGCATTCCATAAAACGCCAAGATTGAAATTGTTACATTTGGAAAATAACTTTTTGCGGCGTGTGCACCCGGAATCATTTTTACAAACATCGGGCAGTGGTGTTGAATATTTGCACTTGCAGTACAATGAAATTTCAAGCATAGATGAAGTAAAATCACTGTTGGACGCATTGCCGATGTTAAAATTCTTGGATTTGAGCTATAATAAGTTGGAAATCATTCCATTTGGATCGCTAAGAGGTCACGGATCATTGGAACAACTTTGCTTGGATCACAATTACATCAGCCGTATTGAACGTGATGCATTCATGGCAATGCCCGGTTTGCGTGAACTTCGATTGAAAAATAATAGTTTGACCGAGAATACACCGTTACCATTTTGGAATTTACCCGGTTTAAAAGGGTTGGATTTATCGGAGAATAAAATATCAATACTAAATGATACGCTGCTCATTGGTTTGCCGTCATTACGTCGACTCGATTTGAGTAACAATGAACTGATTGAAATTGATGCGCATAGTTTTACAAACAATTTATTTCTGGAAACAATCAACATTTCGATGAACAATTTGATTGAATTGCATCCGGCAACATTTCGAATTTTGAACCGTCTATTCGAAATTGATGCGAGTTACAATGAACTGAAAGAAATTATCCCGGGCCTACCGCGTATTGTCGAACGCATCAATGTTGAAGGAAATAAAATTACCATGTTACCAAGTACATCAACAAAATTACTCGATCTACCGAATTTGCGTATGCTTAACCTGGGCGCAAATTTACTGAATAAAATACCGAAAAATGCATTCAGCACATTGTATCAATTACGAAGTTTAAGTCTTGCACAAAATCGACTGCGTACGATAGACGAGCACAGTTTTGCCGGCCTAACCCGTTTGGAAACATTAAATTTACAAGATAATGGATTGGTTGCATTGCATGAGCGAGGATTTTCACCGATGAAAGATTTACGCGACTTGAGTGTCGAAGGTAATCGATTAGAGATTTTGCTTGAATGCATTTCGGAAAATGAACGATTGGAACGATTTGATGCGTCACGAAATAATATCATGGAAATAGCACCAAATACATTTGCCAGAGCTAGACAATTGCAAACACTTGATCTATCGCATAACGCTCTTAAGCAATTGCCACAAAGTTTGGCCACTTTAACCGAACTACGCGACGTTGATATTAGTTTCAATCGTTTGACAATGCTTCCCTTCGAAATTATAACAGCATGGCGTAAAATTGAAATACTCAAAGCGTCCGATAATAAAGTGACGGAATTGCCGAAAAACACATTCACCGATCTACCGAAATTACAGTATTTGGATTTGTCAAGCAATGAATTGAAAATCATTGATTCGGGATCGGTGAAAAATCTACCGGAATTGGAAGAACTTGTACTTGCTGATAATCAATTGGCCGAAATTGGTGAGCGGTCGTTTGAAGATTTACCAGATTTACAAGTAAGTCGCAAACTAACTTATTTCATTCACCAAAAAATCCATTTTACATTGTTACACGAACGATTATACAATTTTATTTTATTTTTCCATTTTTTGCAGGCATTGCATTTGCAAAACAATTTCCTTCGATACATTTCGCCAAAGAGTTTTTATCGCACAAATTCCATCGTATACTTAAATTTGTCGTACAATAATTTTGAAAATATGGAGCACATGGGTTTGAGTAGCGTTCGAAATTTGGAAGTTCTCGATTTGTCTGGAAATAAAGTGCGTCGCATCGCAACGAATCCATTGAGGAATTTAGATTGGCTGGTTGAGTTAAAAATGGACGACAATCATATTTGCAAAGTGCAAGGTGAACCATTTTCATCGATGCCCCGACTTAAAGTATTAACTATGCGAAATAATCGAATGGTGTCTGTCACAGAGCCAACGTTCAGGCATTTGCGAAGCAACCTAGCGGTTCTGGATTTGGACGGTGCGTGCATAATATATTTAATTTTTATTTAAACCAAACAAATAACATACATATTCTCCTATGTTCACCAATGTTTACAGGTAATCCATTAGAATGCAGTTGTAATATATTATGGTTGCGTGCATGGTATCAGGAAAGTAATTCATATCCGGGGCCAAGATGTCGAGATGGTAATTTGTTGACAGATATGCGTATTTCGAAGAGTGATTGCGATTCTTCGAACGATAGTCGAATGAATCAAGTGTTGCTAACAAACGAGCATGGTGATGTTTTCAAACGTCAACTCAATTTGGATGAATGTGACAATGAGCCGTACAGTGAAACCGAAAATATACCCGCATCACCAATTGAAAGTGAATATTTTTATGAACAATTTATTGATTATCCACTGAACGATTCAGCAACGGAACAAAGTGGTGATTTGCGTCAGCCCGATCCGAATTTATCTCCATTTAGTCGAAATATGACGCTGATTCGAAATGATACCGTTCTAAATTACGAGCAACATAAATTGCAACAATTGCATAATAAAAATAACAACGGCGGTTCTGCGTTCACATTTTTCGGTATGCCATTGCCGAGCTTAAGTAATCTATGGGGTGGCGGAAATACAGCAAGAAAATCAACATCACGTGCTGATATTGATGCGAATGGAAAATCACGTTTGAGACATTTTCGTCCTCGACCTGGTGAAATTGTTGAAAGTTTTCAATTTTCGAACAATATACATTTGCCGACCCCAGTACCACCTTCACTGTCACAACCACAGAAACCAACACCTCCAACGCTGAACGAAGATAAAGAGCCGACAAACATTCATCCACCGCCTCCGCCGCCAATTTTAAGCGGTGAATTTATACCGCCAAATTCAAATGGATATTATGCATATTCGGATCCAAGAGTCGAAAAAGGTGGATTTATTCCAATGTTGCCAGGTCGAAAGGGCTTCACGCCAATTCAAAATCCATACCCAAATGACACCGAAACGGATGATGTTCATGAAACCGTTAGCACCGAATTGAGGCCAAATGTTAATTTGGAATTTGATGATAGTTTCGATGATGTCACTGATAATAAATATCCGGTTCTTGTTCCGACTGTGAGTGCTGACCGACCAATTCAAAATACACCATCACAATCATTTAATGTTTCATCATTGAAAAAGGGTGAAATCACTGCACCGACAAAAAGTTCGAATGGCATATTATTAATACGATCAACTCCTTCGCCCATCACGTCTGCAATAATAACATCAACAACAACACGACGAACAGTTACGGAACTAAATGCCGATCGTAATTTACACGAAATCGATAGAAATGGTCTTGAAAATGAGCAAACTACAAATAATATTCAAAAAATTTATAATAATAGCAAAATTCCAAAAACATCGAATTTACTGTCGAATGGTGTCGCTTCGACCACGCCATATTATCCGATATTTATGACGAATTCAAGCGATATTATAAATTTATCAAAAAATCGGGCATCAGTAAATGGAACATCCGGAATTGCAGCAGGTAGTGCACTATCAGCACTTGTGGCACCTGGAGCTCAACAGGGCATTCACCGTACTGCTCCCGGACGATCAAGTATTACAAAAGTATTTAATAATACGAGTTTTGCGCCAACGTCAATTCCTCAAATGCAATCCACCACAATGATACCCACCTCGACACCAAGCACAAGCACTACAACCATCTCTACTAGCACCTCTTTTATGACGACAACAACGAAAACAACAAAAACAACAACAATTACGACAACAAAACATCCAATTGCACAAAAATTACCCACAGCCGAAGAGTATTTGCGAACAACATCGCAAGATAACAGTATCAGAGAGAATACAACACCAAACATTCATCCAAACAAAACACCAATAACAAATGATCTTGAAGATCAGGCGACACAATACAAGGGCGATATGAACTGGTATTACAGCAATTATAATCGTAGCACTTGGAAAGAGCCACAACTTGATCCAGGCCTATATCGATTTCGAACAAATTCGGGAACCAGCTATTCAACTGCATCACATTTTACCATTATAATGTTTACATTGATTTTAGCTAAAAAACTTTTAAACTAAGAACTTATGAATGATGTAACATAGAATCAAACCAAATAAATAAGACAAGAGTTTAGTAATGGAATTATCCTTTCACTGTATACCAATGTGTGCATTTTCAAAACAAATGGTTTGTATTTGAAAAAGAAGCTTTTGCCATCTCCATCTGAGGTTGGTGATGCCATCTATCAACGAACGGATGCATCAACTTTAACATGATGTGAACGAGTCTTAATATCAAACAACATACCATCTGAACCAAATGCGTAGTAGGAACATTTAATAAATGCTAATAAAAAAAAATTCAATATTCTATAAATGGATTTTAATTTAATGGTGTGTTCAATGTATTGCAGCATGTATTAGTCGTCCATTTCTCCCACTTTTATAGAAGTGCAAGCATGTAGTAAATTTTGATCGACATTAAAGCAGTGGTTTGACGTTTCAGTGTTCATTATTCACTTTCCAACGAAAATAAAAACTAACACGAAAATTTGACAGTCGCGCATCTCCCACATACATTGAAATGGACTCATTTTCAATGGTATGTTTGTGTTGGTGGCCGTAAATATAAAACATTGCACACTTGCACTTCAAAAGACTTTCAAGTTTGTTTTTGTTTTTTTCCCAAATATTTTTCTTCAGTTGAATCACTTCGATTTTGTGCACAAATATTTCACAAAAATAATCAATTGCACAAAAAGTCTGGAATCAGTGGGAGAGAAGCAGAAAAAAACAATCGCTTGCATGAATATCTAACATTGGGAAAAAAAAAATGTACGTAATGTGCGCTGCGTAAAAGACAAGCAAAAATATATGAAACTGAAAAGAAATCTTAAATTATTATTGTTATTATTATTGGTTTTTCGTGCGTAATTTGTGTGGAATATGCATTCTATGTGTGAAAGACGACAAATAACTACAGCAACAATACAGCACAGTAGTGATAGTAGTAGTATTTGTAATAGCAAAGACACCAACATTTTGTAATCCGAAAGAAATGATTTATGTGATTTGTAATCAGTGACGACGTGCGAAATTCACACCGATTTTTATCGCGCAAATCACATTTTTATCTATCTGGAATGTACAATTCAGTTGGAATGTTATTTTAAATAATCAGTTCACGTGACAACTAATTAAATCAAATAGTGTAATGTTTGCATGAGTAAAACATACTTTAATTACAGATCGGCGAGATGGATTTGGAGTCACCGCATATTGTCATACTGCAAGATTTGCGATTGCAAACATTCGATGGCATTCGTTTCGCATCATATCGCACAGCTTCTAAATTGCGTTACATTCAAAAATCAACAAATTGTAAGTACATATTGTGACTTGAATTTATTTATTACCACCCATATTTTTTATAAATTGATTTGGACATTTATTTTTGTGATGTTTATCTATGATTTTAGTGCATCTCGTTGATATTTGGAATGTAATTGAAGCTTTTCGTGAGAATGGATTGAATACGATGGAACCACAAAGTGAAGTGAGTGTGGCAAGACTGGAAACGTTAGTATCGTCGCTGTATCATAATTTGAATAAGCGATTGACAACCGTACAACAAGTTCCTGTTGATTCCAAAGCAAGTCTTCTCTTGAACTGGCTCATAGCCGCTTATTCACATGACAATTCCGGTAAAATGCGTGTGTTTTCCATAAAAGTTGCATTGGCCATTATGTGTGCGGGCAAATTAGTCGATAAGCTTCGATGTAAGTATTACCATATTTCCAATTTCAATTCAATGATCCAAACACATTTATTGAAAAAAATATATTCAATTATATTTTAGATATATTTTCACAAATATCCGATGGCGCTGGTCAACTGGTACACAATAAAATTGATTCTTTTTCGAGTATTTTAAATTAATTGTATTCGTTTCTTTTGTGATTCTCGCCTTAGGTACACAATAAACTAGGAGATTTTCTACGAGAAATTCTAGCTATACCAGCCGCTGTCTACGAATCACCTTCATTCAATTATAAAGACAGTTTGGAGTGTGAAATTTTTTCACCAGACGCTAGAGTATCGGTGAACGATTTCATAAGTGCACTAATATCTGAACCAGGACCCCCATGTTTAGTTTGGTTACCATTGTTACAACGCTTTTCAACGGTCGAATCGATTGTGCATCCAACCATTTGTTCGGCGTGTCATCGTGAAAACTTTATTGGTTTTCGATATCGATGCCAACGGTGTAATAACTACCAATTGTGTCAGGATTGTTTTTGGCATGGTCGAGTCTCACTTGGTCATCAAAATGACCATGAAGTAAAAGAGTACACAAATTATAAATCGCCAAGCAAACAAATTGGCTACACATTGCGCAAGAGTTTCCGTTGTGTACCAGAGAAACCAACGCAAGCGATACCAAGATTTCCGGAAAAACCGGAGAAAACATTGAATTTGTCACATATAGGTAATTACTTTGTCCATAAAAAAATCACCAAATTTCAATAATGCATCATAAATGTACGTTTTCATTTTTAAACTGTAGTGCCACCATCTCCATTGCCATCGCATAATGGATTTTCATTGGATGGATCTGGTGGCATGCTCATTCCGCCATTTGATCGAGGTAGCACATTGGATTCGCGCGGCACTTATGGCCGATCATTGGATAGCTCAGGACCAGGTAGCGGTGGAGTTTTGCATCATTATAATGTTGGTGGTAGTTCATCACTTCCACGATCGAGTACATCAAATGATGAAGAGCATCGATTAATTGCACGGTATGCAGCTCGATTGGCACAAGAGAGCCGAACACCGAATGCAACCAATGCAAATATTACGATGAATCCATTGAAAAATGATAAAAACTCACTTGGCGCCGATTCGTCACGTGCACAACGCGAATTAATTGCTCAATTGGAGGCTAAAAATAAAGAAATTATGCGTGAAATTCAACGGCTGCGACGTCAACAAGATGCCGAACAATTAACACAAGAAAGTCCAGCTTTAATGACAGAACTACGAGCACTGCGACAACGCAAGGGAGAGCTTGAAGGACATTTAGGCCAATTGCAAGATTCAAGGTGAATATTTGGATTTTTTTTTTTAATTTTAATATTTACTCAAAATGTTTAATGATAAATTGTTTTTGTTGTTCGGATCCAAAGGCGACAACTGATGGGACAATTGGAGAGTTTGATGAAAATGTTGAAAAATCAACAAACATCATCGAGTCCACGTTCGACGCCTAATAGCAGTCCAAGATCCGGCAAAAGTCCACCAATTCCGCCAGCACAACAACATTCAAACCAGAAACAGTCCGACACACAAAGCAATTCAACAATAAATCATCAATTGTCACAGCCACAAGGCACGGTTTAAGTTAATTGAATGAAGAGCCTAAATCGAATAGCCGCCGCTGCGTTTTTAATGAATTAATTCTGAACATTTTTTTCTGAACTAAAACATTTTCGATACATGCTAACAAATTTACTACGGTTCTACAATGTAGTAAAATAATCCAAAACATACACACTCTAACACTTCCCATCACCAAGTCGATTGACACACAAAACAAAAGCACACAAATTATTCCCGAATGTAAATAAGTCGCATTTTTGTTTTTTGCTTCTAGACATACCAAGAGATTTGTTTAGTACCGAATTGACAAAATGGAAACCATATTAAATATTAATGCATCACGTTTCCAATTGAAACATACAAACGTGACGATATTAGAAAAACATCACAAATAATTTCAAATTGTATTTATTCGAAAGACAAAACAAAAATTGAATGAGATTATCACATCGACGAGCTATAATCTAATAATTGAAGAAAACAAACAAAAAAAAAACTCGAAGATAAAAGTTTTTATAAATTATATTAACGATTTGTATAAATTAACGTGAGTTTATATAAGAATAATTAGAAACATTCCATTTAGTGAAAGAACGCATGCATATTGATGCGCTCACATCGCAAAATCTTCCACTTTTTTGTGAAGAAGACGTGATTAAAATTACCCCATACACATACAAGAATACAGCATGTGTTGATATTTCTATGAACGATTACAGCATAAAAACCGTGACCATAGTCATTGGACTATTTCAATGAAAACATAAAATAATATTGAAAATAATATAAATGTTCACATTTTCATGCAAATAGGCAATTTCCCAGTCAAAATAGAACTTCCATAACGTTTAGGTATACAAATTATTTGATTTATGCCATTTTTTATGTTCTTTGGTGTCTAATTGAAATGAAGAAAAAAAAACAATATTATACAGCATATTTAGTACAAATGATACATGCCGCTATTTAATAGAACATTCACCCAATGCAATCCATTTAAGATAGAGAGATACATTGACATTTATACACAAATTTTTGATTGAAAATAATCTCATCGATCACCGAATCATAATGTTAAAAACAAAAACAGCTTCTAAATTCGTTGATCAAGTTACAATGTTTATGCAGCTGAGATGCAGTTTTTAAATGCAACAACTTGCCAATTTACATCTTTTTTACATTCATCCGAATTTTGAAATTTTACAAAAATTTCTCCCAGATGAGTTGGAAACTTTTATATTTGTTTTGGGGAAAAATAGTATATATTTGACCTGTATTCAATCAAACAAATCTTGCCATTTCACCAGCCAATAAATAATATAACGTGAGCCGGTATATTGTTTTCAAATAATAACTCATTATTATTATTTTGTTTTGTTTTTTTTTTTTTTTCGTTGATAAATTTCTGGAAAGAAAGAAAACAATTGAAAAGTAAATGTAACTTCTATTTATAAAATTATTTATCGAAAAAGAATTATAATTGCTTGTTTCATGCAAATATACACAATATTATATATATATATATTATATGGTGAGCCTGTAATAGTTGAGAATAGTTTGTCTGGAATTTGCATTCGTTTCGGTTATTCTATGACAAAAGTTGATATTCCATAATTTTGAAGCATTTTATTGCTCATTTTTTTCGCGTGAAAATATTCTTGTGAGACTGGAAATTTGCACATCAAGAAAGATGATTCGAAATGGTGTATTGTTAACTAACACACACACACACACACATATATATACAAAAAGACTTACGAAAATCGAGACAGTTATTCTACATGTTTTTTTAGATGAAACTCTTGATACCAGTGGATTTAGACTAACTACGGCTTCGTTTTAACAGGATATTATCCTGATGGATATTTTTAACATTAATAAAATTAACGTCGCTTTGGTAATTTACATCACATCTCTAACATATATAATAATTCAAAAATATTTTTAAAATTGAAACTCTCATTCAGGCAGCATTTTTATGAAAAGACAATCCAAAATACATGGATTTAATGTCAGATGAATATACCATTAGTACTGAATAGCGAACAAAAAAACAACAACAACAATAAAAAGAAAGAAAATCAAAGACGAATTATACAATACTTACCTTAAAATTGAATGCGAACTAATAAAAATTATTATTATGAGAAAAATTAAAAACGTGTCATTTTATTCGTATTACTTATGTAAGATACGCCTCTAAGATAAAGGGGAAATATAGGTTCTGACGAGGATTCAGAGGAACGGATTTGAAAATTAGTCACAATGAAACTCTTTTACCCCTGTAGATTTTGCCGAAAAATTGTGATTCAACCCATTACGCGAAATACAAGACATCAACTTAGATTAGCTATGAGAAAAAAACAATCAATTAAATTAAAATTAATTCAAACATCTTTTGGACTTTCCTTTGGGTTGGTATATGAATATTTTTTTTTTTTTTTTTTTTTTTTTGATATATTATTTATTTTTTGGTAGTTTCAATAGTTTTAACTACGTTGAAAAATATTTTTTCTTATAATTAAGCACTATTCACACTTTAACTTGTATGATTTGAATTTATAAGCTTGAAAGACATATTATTATTTAATATTTAAAAATTAATACAACTTTTTTTAATTTCATATATTGTTTGAACAAAACTAGTAAAAATGTATGTAATTTGTATTAAAAAAAATAAAAATAAAAAATATAGAGATAATTTAAAAATGGCGCCATAGATGACTCTTTACCATTTTTGACGCATGCTCATTATCGAACTGTCAAAAGCAATCTTGCCATATGTCAATAGGACCGAGTATTACGCAGATTTTTGCGAAGTAGTATTAAAAATTGGTTCGATGAAAGTATTTGTGTGAGTGCATAAGCCATACTGTGTACTTAGTACAGTGAAAAAAAAAAGATTTTCGGTGTGTGTATGGAACATAATAATAACACGGAACGTTTATTTCTAAAACGACGACAAAACAATAGTAATAATCGAATACCAATGAAAGCAGCAGAGTAAACGAGAAAGACAACAAGGAATAGGAAAAAAAACATACAAAGCATCTTTGACTAAATAAAAACATATGAATATAATTATTTTTGGTATCAATCGTAATGTGACTAGTTTTATCAAGACTTCAAGTTAAATACTTGCATTTTATGACCATTGTGTAAATAGCTTTAATATTTTTTTGGGATTGGCATTACAATGGCGATTGAGTGAGGAAAAATAAATGTGTAAATTTAAAAAAAAGTGTAGTTACAATTACGTTTCTATTTTTCTTATGTATTTGAAATGTCACTCTGTGCATGAGAGCGTTGTACTGCTTGTTTCTATTTTGTTAAACTTAAATTGAATGGATACCAAAAATCGATTTATTCGATTGTCAATTGGAATGCAATTTTATTAATTTGTGGTTCCATAATTTTTCGCGTTGTTTTATAAGAGTTCAAACTATCAAAAGCGAACATGTTTACGAAAATGTTTCTGTAGAAAGGTGATTACGGATGGCGATAGACTAAGAAAATCGAAACAAAGGCCAAGTAAAAAAAAACACACCACCACATGAATTTCCCTTGTTGCAAACAAAACACACGCGTCGATAACATTTCACAAGTCAAGTTATTTGTATGTTTTGATTTATATGTCGTAGCAATATGTCTAAATGAATGCAAATAAAATATAAATATTTTCATTGTCACGCTCTCCAAAAACTGAGTCAATTTTTGTAATAGTGAAACACAAACGATGCGTCGACACATCGACTAAGCAATGATTGCAAGTGCTCGAAATATAAGTGTGTAATAATAAAGAAAGTGTTGAGTTTGTTTTTTTATTTCGTCTCAATGATCTTAGTTGTCGTAATGAGTATCGTCCTTAGTGTGGTTTATTTCGTTTATAAGAAAGAGTGACGATTAATTGTATTTGATAAATAAACAAAATAGTTGTCGACAGTGAATTGAGCACAGGTTCTGCTACTGTGGAATAGACAACATGGATTCCCATCAAAATAGTAGCATCGTGCATGTGGGCGATTACGAGTATAATACAAGAGACTTGATTGGGCACGGAGCCTTTGCCGTTGTTTTTAAAGGCCGTCAACGAAAGGTCTATATATTCTTCCAATATCAATTGATTTGATTATCGATTATAACTCATTTTAAAGCTTGAAACTAATGTACACATCGAAAAAAGAGTTTGAATTGCTCGCAATGTCATTGACACTTCATTAAGTCAGCGAAAAAATTAATAAGCAGGTTTACTGTTTTGTTTAATTTTTGCCACACAACTTAACTAAGCGAATAAATTAGTTTAAAACCGGTTTATTTATAAACACCAAGTGTTTATGATGACCATCATCTGTACTCTGAGTTTGATTGCAATTGATCACGAAATCAATTTTATTCACATCAATAATGATTCAATGACGTTTTCATACCTGTAATGGGGCCGGTTTTTTCTAACATTTCGATAGCCACCAAATAACTTGATAAAATTACGGTTTCAAGCGTTAAAATGTAAAATAAATGTTAATCAATAAAAAAATATATTTATAAACATTTTGTTGATGATTTATTATTAAAAATAAAAATTATCCGTTGTCATTGCAGCCGCCACATAAAGTTGTTGCAATAAAGAGTATCACCAAGAAGAATATCGCAAAATCTCAAACATTATTAACAAAGGAAATAAAGATATTGAAAGAATTGACCGCATTACAACATGAAAACGTTGTCAAGCTATATGATTGTAAAGAGACACCGACATCCGTGTCGCTCGTCATGGAGGTAAGTGCTATTTTAATACTCGCTTACGCAACAAATCGAATACAATTTTCACACCAACTCTGTTCCATTTCAAAAAAAATACAATCTCGGATACACAATTTGATAGAATCACATTTATTGCATTCACCATTTTCAATGAAATTCAGCAAAGGGAATGAAATAATATACATTTATTATTCTGCATACTGCATACCACCAATTTATTTCTATGTTTTGTTCATTTTTCAACAATCAATCGATTCAATCGTCTCAATCCCAGCCAGTGTTGTATTTATAATACAATTGTTTAAAAGAAAAAAAGAAATAGCATAAAGTGTATTCCATATTTACTTAATATTATGCAAACAATTTGGTTTTCAAGCTCCTACATCGTAATCAATGTTTTTCTACTTTATATATAGTAAATATATATATATATATATAAATTAACTTAATCTTACATACAAGAGTCATTTATTTGCTCAAAAATTGTTCAAGAGACCAATTACATGCATATGTCATTATGGTCTTGAATTTCAAAGCGTTCAAGAAAATTTAGCGTGTTTAATATGGAATTGAATAAGTTTTAAACTTTGTTCAATGGAATTTCTTCATGAGGTTGTACTCGATCTTCAGTTTCAGCTCGATTATGTTGCCGTCGGCAACATTTCGTCTTAATGCCACAACAGTCGAGACGACAACAGACGCCAATCAACAGTGCAACTACTGTAACCGCAATAAGACCTATGACACAAAAATAAAGTCATTTTCAATGTTAGACGAATTGAATATTAAATTCAAAAAAAAAAAAAACCGATTCACATAAAAACTCACCGATTAAAAGCATATAGATAATGTGCTGTGGTACATCGACTTTGGCTTGTGTAGCATCTTCACTTTTTATCGTTGATTCAGTGCTATTTATAGTCTTTTCAGTTCTGGTTTCATTTTGTGAAATGATACTCATCTGTTGTCCGGATAATGGGCCCACTGGATCAATAACAGCTAAATTATTTGTCACATTTTTCGTCGATGATATTGGTTTTTGTGTTGTCGGCTTTTGTTGGTTCGGCTTCGGTGGTATTTTCTCTCGTTCATCATGCAATTCTATTCAAGTGAACGAAACAAAAGAAAAAATACATTAATAAGACCCAAATGAACGATGGCATTTTGAATGTATAGCATTACCATCAGTATCGGTTGAAGAAAGTGTCGACTGGCCATATTTTATGATACTTTCATCGAATTCTGATCCGGTCAAAAGCAGTAAACAACTGACATCATATGGTTCCGATGTCAAATGTACGATATCAATACTGTCTAGTTGTTTACACAACTCGGGAAATACATCTCGTGGCAGTGTTGCAAAATTTAAAACACGCAAATTGACAAGATATTTAAATGCTTTAACATTCAAAAACTGAAAGAAAATTTATAATTTAAAATACATGACATGATTCAAATTCGGAATAGATTGTATACCGTATCGAATGGATTGTTATCCAAATCCAAAACCACCAAAGATGATAAGTTTTGGAAAATATTCTCTGATAATTGTGTTATGCTACAGTTGGCCAAATTCAACGTTTTCAATTTTTGAATAATCGGTACATTCGGTGCAATCACATGTTGGTTGTCCTTTAAATTTAAGGTGGCCAATTTATTGGCCTTTGAAAATTCATTGCCCTGCAATGGCTTCAGAGCGTTTGATGATAAATCGAGATAATGTAAGCCTGGTAACTTTGCAAAATCCTAAAAAATACAAATACCATGTTTTAGTAATATTGTTCTTAAAAAAAAAATGACGAAACATTTCAATCACTCACTTCAGTATTGATGATTGTTTCAATTTGATTGTTATTCAAATCTAATCGTTGTAGTTGACGGCAATTGATCAGATCACTGACATTAAGCGTTGTTAATAAATTATGACTTAAATTGAGTTGATTGGTATTGTTTGGGAGATTTTTTGGTACTTCTACTAAATTTTGTTGGGAACAATCCACAATACCAAATGTATCTGAACATTTGCAACTTTTTGGGCATGCCGATTCAATTGGTTCTGGAAATGAAAAAAAAACCCATCGTGAATTTCGTCGAATAACGACGTATAGATTGTTTTAATACCTTGTGTTGTGCTTGTTTCATATGTTGTTTGTACTGGTGTTGTGACAATGGTCGAAACGGTGGTAAATTCTGTTATAGATTCGGTTATTTGAATTGGATTCGGCTCAGCCGACGATATTTCACTCAAGCTAGGAGGTATTGATGATGGTGTTGATAATGATGAAGATGTGTCTAATCTATTTGTCATCGAAGTATCTCCACTGCCTTCAATTTCATCTGCATAGTAATCGTCGTCCGTCTGTTCATCGCTTTGACAACTAAATTTGAGACAGGCACGAGATTAATTAGATTAAATTGTAGCATATTCATAATTAAAATTAGCATTTAAGTAACATTCTTGTCTATATGTTTGTCATAAAACAAATTGCTATATATGTTCACAACAAATTGAACTAATTGACATCGTAGCGAAAATCAAAGCCTACTTTTCAGCATCGATTTTGTTGTTGATTTTTTTTTCGTCTCATGAAATCATTCCGATTACGTCGCAGTAATAATGGCCGTTGTCCATAATTACCATAATATTTTCCGAAGCATAAATAAAGCGCAACAAAATTGCATCATTAAATCAATGTAATAATATTGGTTTTTTTTTTTCTTTGAACAAAATGTATATTAAGCTTGTACATTACGATATTCAATTCACCGACCAATTTGATTGATATACTTTTATGCACAACAGCATGCACACGATAAGAGATTTCTCATGAATTATTTACCTTTTTTATGCGAAACGTAAAACTTGTAAAATTTAATATACAAAAAGAGAGAGAGGTGCACACACAAGTTATAAGCACATTTATTTTGAATCTGTCGAATGATTAACCATCGATGGATTTCATAGAGGCAAACCACATTTCGATGAGATCGTTAATTATTGTAATCAAAGCAATTACGAAATTATTACGTATTGACGAACGTCATTGTGTTATCAAGCGCAATATGAAATGCGGAATTTTTGGATCATATATAGAGGTGGACAGGTGGTAAATTGTTCAATTGAAATACATACTAATCGCCATTCATGTTATCAAAATTTAATATCGATGATTGCAAAATATCAAACCGAAATGACAATGAAATAATAATGTGAGAAGAGAGAGAATAAAATGTATTAAGTGAATGATTAGGTTTGTGATTTGTTATTTGCACGTTTTTATTTACCTTATTTTGAGTACACACAGCAACAAGATGATTAATATACAACGCCTATTCATGTTAATATGTGCGATGATTAAATTTATGGAACAAATATACTAAATACCCAATTGATTGGTCGATGACAGCATGCATTGAACGAAGTCGTTGCTGCAAGCAGTGGCTAGGAATCGGGTGATCGGTTTCGATTTCGATCTTATCGCCTTATTGTCGAATTTCACCTTTGTACATTAGCCGGACTTTAAACACATGCACACATAATTGTCGATTTTGAATTTTATGTATATATCTATCACAACTCTCTCTCACACACAATATTCGAGGCTACTACAATGTTTTTATTATTTGATAATTTATGTATAAGTTTTTATTTGACTATTATTCACTGGCTGTTCACATTGATTTGTGCGAAAATGATTTAAACGTGCGATTTTGTTCATTTCATTATTGTCGTTAATGATAAATCTGTATCATTTAACGACACACAGTAACAACAACAACAAAAGGAATGGCCGGTTTTGAATCGTTCACGCATTGATTTTCAAATACACATTGATTTACCAATGAACTGACGATTTTAACCCACTGACAACTCTGCCCCCATGCATCGAATACCGCATTATCGTTACGCTGCCAATCTGAAAATAACACTATCATTAGTTCAAATATCAAATCGATATTTTTCGTTCTGATTCATTCAGCTATTTATTATGCTTAGGATGCTTATCTTATCGCTATAGCACTTTTTTTCTTTGATTAATTTCGGCGTGAGTCGGTGAGCTTTATGTCAGATGACCAATTTACTATATTGTGTTGTTATTCTCTATTTTCAAATAAAATCGCATTCTGTTGTGACGTTCGATTTTTCTGTGCGTGCGTACAATATTTTCATTAAATCACAATCTGATAACAATCTCAAATAAATTAGAAAATCGATTCGTTCACGCCTGCCAAAAATTATTTGAGCAAAATTGAGATAGAATAATCACTAAAGGAACGTTGATTTGCCAATGAAGTAGATGCGTGCCCCATTATCGATTTGTAGTCATCAAATTATATGTACTATTATGGTTTTTCAATTACAATCTTATATATATTAAATTTATATGCTCGTTTATAGTTAGCAACAGAGCATACGACATTCATTTATTGCCAGTGTGCTTTTTTGCGATAACTATTTTCACTGAGTCACTACATGAATTTACTTGGTTAAATTTATGCCGAATTTTACCGGGGCAACGACAAAGCCGGTTTACACGTTTTTAAGTATATCACCGAGCAAGAGATACAGACTTATATATGTATGAATGTCAAGCACAATCATTGTTTCATTGTATTGTTTTCACTTATTTATTCATTAAATGGTCAAAAGGTTTCTTCTCGTGAAGCAATTAGCTATGATTGAGTACCGCCATCGTTGATTCAAAAAAAAAATTATAGATTCAAATATAAACGTTGTATGTTTCATGAACAATGATGGAAGTTCCGAAGTGAATAACAAAGTTTGTTTAATCCCCAATAAATCTGTATCACAAAATGTGCTAACGAACTTCGGATGCAATCGATGAATTATCAATGTGATTAATAAGAAAGAGCTGAAACACAACGTAAAAAGAGTCACACATGCACATAGATAATAAAAGAGCAATTATGGATTTCTAGTAGCGCAATGAAAATTTCATTTGCATATGTGCACAGTTTTTGATAGTTTTTTTTTGTTGTTGTTGCTTAGTTATAAATGACGGGCTTAGCAATAACTTATGTGGACGATACTAGTGTTCGCAGTGATTAGCGATTAACTGAGGTCAAAGACTCTATCTTCACAGAGTTAACGAACAATGTAAAACAAAGATAAGGCCCACTTTAACTGATCAAATAACTGAACACAATTTAATTATAATTATTTCAAAAGAAGAAGAAGAAAAAACAATAATCAAAATAACATTGGTCGCTTGAAAAAAATGACTCAATTCCATTTGTACATTGATTAACTTCGAATTATGATGCAAAATACATTTATTCAAACATTGCGTTTATTTCAAACTTTGAACTTGAATGTGACGATATATCATGACCGAATTATGTGTGAATGTTTCGCGAACAACAATAACAAATTGGGTAATATTCTCTTTTTGCCTACTTTCATTTTCTCGGTTCGGGACAAGCAAAAAAAAAAAAAAAGAAACGAAACACAGCGCATACATTCAGGTTTATTTAACACAAAACTTTCATGAAGGTTTTTTTTCACTTGAAATCTCCTGCCAAATTGACCGTTTATTGAACAAAATATACACATAAATGTTTCTCAATCAATATTTTTGTTTCTCCCCGCATTGCTTTTAACTGAACATTTAGCAATAGCAACCAACAACGGATATATTACTGATACACTCTTGCTACGCACTGGAATTGTATTTACCGAATTTAAAAAAAATGAATCGGTTATAATTAGTACCGTTGCCAATCGTAATTCATAGAAAAAGTGTGAAATTTCATTGCATTGTTGCGGTTATTTCATGCGTTTATATGCAAAATAAAATGTTACGATTGAAGAATTCAATGGAAAAAGAATCTTAGTCGAATTGAATGTATCGAATAGGATGGAAAGAACATTTTTAACGAAATACGGTACTATTTTTTTTATTGTTGTTTGTTGAATGAAAAATAAAATGCAAAAAATACTTCTTTCACACACTGACTTAACAAAATTACTATTTCAAATGTAGAGAGCACACTAATGAGTGAACCGTTCACAAAATTTTATGTAAGAGACAGAAAATAGGAATGACGTTTCTGCGTCAAATTCAGTGAAAGAGATGTGAGCAAGTGTGAGTGTTTTGGTGCATTTTGTTTATGGTTTTAACTGTTCGACAAAACTGTGTTGGTGAGTTGTTGTTCAATATATTGTACAATGCTGCGAACGACGTTATGAGCATGTTCACGTACACACGGAACCAAAGTCGAAGCGATTTTACTACACCACAAATACACTCAAACACTCGACAGATATATTAGGTCTTCGTGTGTGTTTTTTTGCGTATTGGTACGAAAACATCGTGAACATGCATACTACTGTGCTGTCCCAATAATCGATTCATATCACCTCATATTTACGCACACTAAAAATTAAAACCTCTTGAACTATTTTATGCTATAATTTTGTCTTGTCATTGACATGAAAAAAAAATCAAACATCATCATGTATACAAAAATAAAATCAGATGTATAAAATGACATTTTTCACATTCGGAAATGTTTACGAAGGCCTATAGAATTAACAACGACTATTCGTGTTTATGCGGAAGTTTTATTCGTTACAATAACAAATTGAATACAAAAAAAATGAGCTGTTTACAAATATATTTTTAACTGTTAACAAAATGGATTTTATCAACGATTATGCATTGATATCCTTTCAAATCTGAGTACTGAGTTGTATAAAATACAAAAACTCACCTTAAAATTTCGTAATTTGAAACTTTCATAAAATATATCTCTTTAATTAACGTTGACCCATCCTTGTTTTGAAATTTAAGTGGTCTTTTTGGTGCACGATAGATTCGATTAATTCATGATCTGTGTGAGCGTTAAATATACAAATATTTGAAGTCATTATCAACGGATATTTTGCATTTAATATTCAATTGAATTATAACCCAGCACATCTTTCGCAACCATGTATAAAGACATATTATGACTTCCTCCACAATCGTTTCGTTTGTATCATATCAATTCCAAAGTTGAAAGCATTACAATATTTATAAATATCTGTTGTCATTCATTCTATTTGAAATGTGATAAAGCAATTGAATGATATTTTAAACAATATATGTGTCTCTTTTATTTTCTCTATCTCTGTCAACATCATTATAGTATTGCAATGGAGGTGACTTGGCCGATTACCTTACTGCGAAGGGCACGCTTAGCGAAGACACAATTCGACTGTTTTTACGTCAACTCGGTAACTTTAATGTTTTTACATTGACATTTATGCGACATTATAATGACTAAATTTAAAAGAAAACAATTTTTTTATGGTTCTTTTGTTATGTAGCTGGAGCAATGGAGGCACTTCACAACAAGGGAATTATACATCGTGACTTAAAACCGCAAAATATTTTATTAGCTCATAATTGTGGCAAAACGTTACCAGCACCGTCAAAAATTGTTTTGAAAATTGCCGACTTTGGGTTTGCGCGATTTTTACAAGATGGAAATATGGCAGCTACACTTTGTGGATCTCCTATGTATATGGTATGTGTATGAATTCAAATAAATAAAAGAAAAACTCTATCTGCATAATTCTAACGCATGCGATTCCATTTCAGGCACCAGAAGTAATAATGTCACTTCATTACGATAACAAAGCCGATTTATGGTCCGTTGGAACAATTATTTTCCAATGTTTAACCGGAAAAGCACCATTTCAAGCACACACCCCACAGGAGCTTAAAATGTTCTACGAAAAAACTCCAAATCTTGCACCAAAGTAAGATCGGTTTTTTTTCTTAATGTTTTATTCAAGTGGCAAAAATAATGTTCATAAATTTATTCGATTTTCATTAGGATTCCATTGGGAACATCACCCGAATTAAGCAATTTATTAATGGGACTGCTAAAAAGAAATGCCGCCGATCGCATATCGTTTGAAGATTATTTCAATCATCCGTTTATGAATAAAATTCAATCGCAAACAACACAACCTCCAATAGAACAAACAGCGTTCATGGCTGGCGAAACATTCACGCCTCCCAAAACACCAAGTCCTATTCAAATGAAAACTCTAGGTAATTCAAATTTTAATCATTCTTAAATCTCTGTCATTTCACTTATTTTTTTTTCTTTCTCATTTTTGACTTTTTAAACAGTTGCGACCGAAGATTCCAATATAACAATTGCTGAAAATGACACACACAGCGAATCAAGTAGTCCCGAGAATACAAATTCGGATGATTTTGTTCTAGTTCCAAATAATTTGCCCACAGATGCAACAATACTAAACTATGAACGGAAGTAAGTGAATTTCGTCGAGAAAAATTTTCATTTTTAATTCGTCACAAAAAAAAATTGGTGAAATAAACAAAAAAATGTTAATGTTATCGTTCAATTGATTAAATTTTGTAGCCAAAATACCAGAGTACAGACAACAGTGCAACAATCACCGGATAATGCAAAAAGAATTTCGCCCACATGGACTACAGCCGATGCACAGTCTAGACCTAGCAGTTTGAAAATATCCGAACCGAAACCGGTGCCATTACCATCAAGTGTGCGACGTGCAATCAAGCCGGCATCATCGTTGCCACAAAAGAGTAGTTCGAATGCAATACCACGTTCGCAACCGATTAGCATGAAACGTTCCGATCAACGTAATAGCAACGATCCAAATAATGTGAATAGTGCAGCGGCAACAGCACCATCAGCCATAAACATTAGCTCAATATCACCGCCAGCCGTTCAGTTTGCCATTGGTTCACCACCACCATTGGGCAGTCGTCGGTCAGCATCTGGCGGCTCATTGTCTGAATCACCTCCGGTTGCACCATACCTATGGCAAATTAGTCCAACCACACAACAATCGCCACCAATCAGACAATCATCATCTACGCAGCTATTGCAACAAGGTATATTTTTAATTCGTTGCCCAAACGATTGTCATGACATCAATTTAGTATTATTCTCTTGAAATCCACATCAAATTTGTTTTTATTTAAATAAACAGGTGAAATATCTCGACATTTAGCTAGTGAGGCCTTAGCAGATCATGCTTTTCAATGTGCCACAGGCATGTGGAATGTTCCGTGCACGTTCAATGCACCAGATTTACCAGTTGAAACTCTCCTAGATCGTACTCATAACGAAACATTGGCTAAATTGAACTTTGTCATTGCGCTTTGTGATTGCATTGTTGAAGTGGCCGATGCTAAATGCGCACCACTTTCAGCACTCATGTCAGCTGAAGCGGCTCCGATTGCTCCACATGCACCCGAAAATTGCAAACGGTCCGAACGTTTAGTTTTATTAGTAAGGTGAGCTGCGATCATTTCATTCTATTTCGCTCATTGGCATTCTGATAAAATTTAACAAAAATAAAAAAATAATGTCATTTCAGAGCACTGCAATTGTTATCATCTGGTTTGAATTTAGCCATTAAACAAATAACTGATGGTAATCTAAAGCCTTCCGACAATGTGAAGAATGGTGAGTAATTGATTTTCATTCTCAAAATACGTTTTTCTCACAAAGACTCTCTCAGAATGAGTAAATCAATAAAAATGTAATATATTTCCGATTTTAGTAATCACATCAATGAACTCAAAGTATAAAATGATTTTAATGGAATCGAAAAAATTGAATGGATCTGGTTTGCTGCAAAAAGCGAGTGCGAACAATATCACCGCCGATAAAATTCTTTATGAATATGCGATTCAAATGGTCAGTGAAATATGCAAAGAAACTTATAAAATGTTCGCCTTACAAATTGTGGTGTTCAATTGATAACCCGTATTTTGAATTCGAATTTCAGTGTCAATCAGCTGCGTTAGATGAATTGTTTGGCAAGCCTGGCGTTTGCTTTCCACGATATCAGACGGCGCAAATTCTTTTCCATTCATTGGCTCAACAAACAGATCATCCGCAAGATAAAAACATTTTAGGAAAATGTAAGTCCATTTTTATAAAATTAAAAAAAAAATGAATTTCATAAATAAATTTTATCGATTTGTAGATAAAGAGGCAGTCGAAAAGCGTTTGTTTGTCTTACAAAAACAAGGGCACAACATTTACACCAAAACGAATGATTTTTTCACGTAAAAACCAACAAATCGAAACAAATTTTTCAGCGAATGAGGTAAGTAGACGACGTTATCAGTACGGAAATTGTCATTAATTGTCGAAAATCATTTTTTTACTCATTTTAGAAAAGTACGCAGAGTGAGCGCACTCAGACTAAACAACACGGATATATTCCATACCCCCATATATTTATATGAATGAAAAGAAAAATAAAATACATTTAATAGTGGGTTGTATGCATGCAAATGCGCCAACCACGTTAACATTATTTAATGATTATTCTATGTAATACACACTCTAGTAAAAAAAAATCATATTGTATATGCTTAAAAGCGCGGATGCGCTCGCGCAATTGTTAATATGTCTGTATCATCAGTCAAATGCAACTATTTCGGCTATTCAAACCAAAAGCATATAATTATATGTTTTATTTCGCTTCATTAATTCTCAATCAAATGATTTGGCTCTAAATTTAGAAATTTACACGTGAATTACATAGAATCAAATTGCATCTAATTATCAAAGAAATCATTTTTTTAAATTATTTTTTGCAACAAAGAAATGTAAATGAAAGTAATAAATAAAATTATATCGACACCGAAACATTTAATTTATTTCTATTTTATTTCTCATACGCTCTTTATTTTCCGTCATAATTGGTGATTTTTCAATCAAATTCTACTGCATGTCGAAGGTGACTCACCAGTAAAAATCCCTAGGGGGATATTGCGTGTATATAGTCGTAATTTATTGACAAATATTTGCGACACATTGGTTTATATTCGTATACGAATATGAAACCACTTTTTTCAAATATGCCACCAATATTTATTTATTTTCCAAGTATATTCCAATATATTATACAAAATACTCTTGTAAATACTAGAGTACAAGTACTTGCTAGAGTACAAATTGTAAAAATATATATTACCGAAAAAATGTTTTTTTCTTGATTTGTATAATTAAAAAAAATGTTTTATTTTATTTTTTTATTTTTTTATTTTTTATACCGGACTGTTTAAAATTTATTTATGAAACACCAAAAAAACGATTATTTAAAATGTGTACAGCCAAAATTCAAATAAAAAATTGTGAAATTCAATGAAATCTTACAAGCTGTAGGCTTATTACAAAATGCTTGTGTTAAAATTGAAAATCAAATTTCAAAATGCTTGAAATCAAGTCCATTTTTTGGAGAATTAAAATAAACAGTGCTATAATATCTCCTTTAATGTTCAATTTCGACGTTAGCAGCTGTTAGTTTTCACTATTTAAACAATTTGGACATATTTGGAATATTTATTGAATTTTACTCCTGAAACTTAATTTTCTGCCAAAAAAATGATCTAGACGAAATTTCATGACAATTGGTCGATAAATGAACATAGCTCAAATTTCACATTTTTACAAAAATCAGGAAAAAAATGAAGTTTGTCGATAATTTGTCATATTCAAATTTTTTATTTTTAATCCGATCGTCGTGAAACTTTGGGAAACTTAATTTTCTGCCAAAAAAATGATCTAGACAAAATTTCATAACAATTGGTCGATAAATGAACATAGCTCAAATTTCACATTTTTACAAAAATCAGGAAAAAAATGATGTTTGTCGATAATTTGTCATATTGAAATTTTTTATTTTTAATCCGATCGTCGTGAAACTTTGAGAAACTTAATTTTCTGCCAAAAAAACTCCACTCCAAATTTCCACTCACTATATGGACTCCAGCGTTTATTACTAAGTTCCAAACATTATCGATGCATTTAATAAAAAAACAAATGTTTCGCAAATCTCATAATTTTCTTCGGTAGATTAAATCTTTTAATATATTTTTTGTTTTCTTTTAAAGTCTACTTCGTTAAGCTGACTATATAGTTTACCTACTACTTTCGAACTCAAATCTTGATTTCTGACAATTTTAATAGAAACATTACGTCTCTATGTTTTCAACAATGGTTATGACTTTAATTTTTGTAGTACAATTTATTAGTGTAAACTTCATTGGCACTACAAAGACATTTAAACTCTGGATTTGTTCCGGTTTTACATTTAGATGCTGAATTTGTCGAATCACTGTTAACGGGTGCATAAATCGATTTATTTAAAATGTTGGTGAGTGAATAATCACAACCAAAGATTGATGTAAACCATCCGTCTTTTTCAAATTGCACCAATGCACATCCGACAGCGTATGCCTGATCTCGAACTAATTGCGTGAAATGGCCAATTTTTTTCCTACAAATCAAATAAAAAAGTTAATATTTCGCTAAAAGTTTATAAATTCAATGAACATTTTCGTAATTTAACTCGGTTTTATTATATTTTTTTATTATAGTCATGTTTGCATCTTTTTTTTCACCAAACCAGCCAACATGTAACGTTTTAATGATGTCTTCGGCCATCTCAAATTCTTTATTATTCTTGCTTTTACCCAAATTTTGACCAGCATACAAAAACTTCTCTGAAATTTAAAAAATAAATGATCAAATCAACGGACGAAAGAAAACTCCAAATGTGTACAACATATAATTTGTTTCATATCATTGGAACTTACCGGTATTTCGACATTTATCATGTCCAAAAATGCATCGACGCACATTATATTCAGCGAACTTTGCTAGCTCATCATGCCATACCTACGTATAGAAGAAATTTCCAAATTTTAAATTTAAATCCAAGAACAAATTGATTTTGGTCGGAAGAGAAACTTACAAGAGTTGCCATCCGAGCGGCTTTGTCGTATCCATCAACTTCACCGCACGCAATTTCATTTCGATAACTGTTGTGTGTGTCCAACACTAATTGCTTCAATTCATCAGTAAATTCAATGATATTGGTATTACTTGGGCATGCTTTGCCAAATGCCTGCAAAAAGATCATATGCATTATTAGCACAAGAAACAACAACAAATTAATAATAAAATCATTTCGATCAAATCTACTCCAGAGTTCTTGCAGGCAATATGTTTCTTCGATCCATGGCACAACGATGTTGAACAATAATCAATAGACAACGTGGCCGTTGCAATACAAAGAAAAACTTAAAAATCGAAATATTAATCGGGGATATATAAAATGCTAAGTTATTTATTTATTTGCACAGTTAAATGAAAAAATGTATCAGTAAAATGAAATTCGCGCATGAGTAAAATATGCTATTTTGCTCGGTAAAAAAATGCAAATTCAATTTAATTTAATTTTTATTTCAAGTAAAATTATCTCTAATATGCACAGATATTTTCATTATTTTGCGGTATTGAAATATAGAAACGCGTAGTATTAAAATTCATCATTGTTCTAAATAATATAGATAAAATTTGTTAATATTTTTGACATTCGCACATTTGTTATTTTTATCATTTCTTGATTACTGAAGAACTAATGCTGCTTTTGCTCGTGCAGAGCGACCCCGTTTACGTTTTTGGCCCAACGGTATAGCTTTAGCCTCATCTGGCGCGATGACGAATTTCATTCGAAGTGCAATTCCAAGAATATGTTCACACATGAAAAGTTAAAAAAAATCGCTGCAATAACATCTTCCTTGAAGCCAATTGTGTTTTGTGAATGGAATCGAGAAATTTACATTGAAATATTTGAAGTTCTTTGATTTAAATTCTTCAAACGAATTCCATTCTTCGTCTGGCAAAACTACATTGACTTTTGAATCGTATGGTATTTTATATAAAGTGTAACCATCATTTTCGCTGACTGCCATATGAAAATCATTTTTTGCCCAAGCGTACGCTTTAGTCCATTGTTTTAGTGTAATTTCTGGATTATTGTGAATCTCTACGCTACCATTGGAGTATGCTAGAGACCATTTTTGGACCATTTCAAACAAAATAGTTCCAAAGCGGCTCAAATCGTAACGTTCTCTTATTGTGTGTTCCTGTTTGATCAAGCGATTGGCTGATTCTAATGCATTATTTGTTGATGGTGTGAGGTGTCTCAGCTTTGTTAAAAATGTCGGTATTTTGGTTCAATTGTAATCGATCGAGATCATGCAGTAGTTCGTTTTGATGTTTGGTTGTGCGAATACCATACTTACTTAAATTATCAGAAACAGCGGAACGCATATGAAACCAGCACATAACATTGAAATCTCGTTTTCCATAAACTTCTTCGAAGCCATTATGAATACTTTTAGCTGCATCGCTTATCGAAATCTCCGGATTGTAATCAAATTTAATAATTATTTAAAAATAACAAATGTGCGAAAGTCAAAAATATTGACAAATTTTATCTATATTATTTAGAACAATGATGAATTTTAATACTACGCGTTTCTATATTTCAATACCGCAAAATAATGAAAGTATCTGTGCATATTAGAGATAATTTTACTTGAAATAAAAATTAAATTAAATTAAATTTGCATTTTTTTACCGAGCAAAATAGCATATTTTACTCATGCGCGAATTTCATTTTACTGATACATTTTTTTATTTAACTGTGCAAATAAATAAATAACTGAGCATTTAATTACTATCCATATTAATCTAAAAGAAAATGATTTGTAAGTTAATTTGAGCTTACCAAAGACTGTACTTATCATGTTAAATAACGTGATGAACACAGTCTTAACAGAGAGTCTTAACTCAAGTTACTGTCGCCAACTGACTTTTATAATCGTTTGCATTAGCTTTTTTTTTAAATCTGTATGCCATCAATTTGTAAATTCGAATAATTCAACTACCTTACTACATTAATTGCCAATTGTTCATTTTCTCTTCACTGAATCTAAAGTAAATAAAATAAAATGTTCTAAGAATTTTCTTTCAATTCATAAATCAATCAGAGCGCATGCCTTCCATAAAGTTGTTTGTTATATTCTATATATATTGTGGAGAAGAATGTTAGAAATTAACAAATACTTTTCGAATAATGAAAATTTCCATGTGATGTGTATTCCATTAATGCATTTATTTGAACATGTCGATACAATAGTTATACGCTAAATTAAAAAAATAAAATAAAAATTAAGCTACTCGTCTTTTGATTACTCTATTAACATATTTTTATTGAATTTTTAGGTTATAATATCATTTAATTCCATCATTGTATAATACAATGCCCAAAGTTCTTAAAGAAGTGGAAATTTTCAACGGAGGTTTTCAACAATGTACTGTCATAATATTAGGTATTAGATGAAAAAAATAGTGGAAGTATAACTCAGATATATACTATATACAACTTTTCCATTAGATGGTACCCAGCTCTAGGGGCTTTTATCTTCAAATATATACAATTTATAATGCAAATAGTGAACTATATTGCAAAATCATCTGTAATACGTGCAAATAAATGTGCATAACTGCATATATTTGGTGTATATTTCGTGTATATTTCGTCTATGGCATGTTTTTTCATTCTCTTATGTGCGGATCTTCTTCGATTCTGTGTAGCTATTCTGTGTGTTTGCTACACTGCAGTTTAGAAACCACCTTATTCACTGGTATAGGCAAGAAATTTTAATCGTATATATGATGAATAGGACGTGAATATTGTGTATAAATTTGTATGAACGACTGATGGAAGCCCCTAGACCCAGCTCTCAAAACGCTTGAACAAATGATAAGGAAACATATTTTCAATTCAGCAATTTTCAATTTTATTTTATCGAGCTTGAATTACAAAAAAAAATGTTGTATCAACAAATTTTTCACTGTTGCCGTTCGCTTTTGATTTTTTCAATATTTACAAGCCCGTATAGAATGCCTTAATATTTGGACATTTTTCAATAGAAATTCTAGTGACATCGTCATTAAGAACTTTAATCACTTTCATATCCTCTTTGGCAAAAATGTCCATCAATGCATTCAAATCAGCTATATGCGTTTTTTGATCCTTCGGTTTTGAGTTATTCAACAGATTTATTTTGGTAATAACTGCAGTAATCTCGGCCAAATAATTTTCGGTTGACAGCCTTAAAATGTTGGCCACGTTTGGTACGTGAACAAAAAAGTGTAATAGTTTTGTTTCGAACGGTCCAATTTTTTCTAAAACTTGTGTAAGTTTCGCTTCATTTGATTTGATTGAATCCAAATATTTCTCCTGAGCGGTTTGATATGTTTGACAGCAAGATTTTCCATCCGCCATTGCTTTATTTACCTTTGGTATCATAGATGAGAATGAATTGACCGCATTATAAAACATGTTCAACTTCGATTTGAGACCTTTGTCAGACACTTTGCTGATGCATGTTTTAAGTTGATTTAGGTTGGAATTTATGCTGAGACCGGGTTTCAAAGTAACCGAACCAACTGAAGAACATGAAAATAATGCGGAAAAATGTTTGCCATCCGATTTTGGCTCCGATTTCGTTTGAAATTGCGCGTTGATTTTTTTAAGCACAGCTGATGTGGTGCCAGCAGTTAACAAACTTGTTAACTCCGCTTCAACATCAGCAAATGACAATTGAATCTAATCATTCCGATAAACGTAAAGATTTAAAAAGAAAAAAGATATAGTTTTTGGCTGACTGATGATGGTATCAATTTTTAAAAATAAATTGAATCAGAAAAATTCAAAAGCAGAAATAATAGCCAAAAAATATTATAATACAATTTGAAAACTTACATGGAGTGCACAAACACTGGCAAAAAAGATCAAGATCAATGGACGCATTTTCTTTCAATTTGAAGAAGACTGATTGATTGCAACAAATTGCATGATATTTATACCTTTGAAAAATGACATCGATGTGCTTTTTTTATATATAATTATTTCATTTACAATTCAAATGATTTTTCAACGGATTATTTTATTTATTCAAACGTCAAAAATAATTATAATTATTCGTATTTTTATCCAAGAGGCCAGATGGTGAATTAATAACAATTTTATAAGAACAAATGTATATGACTAATATTTTCACTCAAAAATGACTTTGGAAAAATGACAAAGAACTGTACATTGAACTTTACATTTTATGAAAAAAGGAATGGCGGCTCCCTGTCATTATTCCCACGGATGACAACTTCATCCGTACCCGTCACGGATGCATATGTTACGAGAATATTCGCAGAGTATTCGCCAAATATTCGCAAAAGGCTACCAAATTCCAATATGGCGGCACATCAATTGAATATATACTATTCATATTTTACGAATTATGCATTGAATGTACGTATTTTGAGTATAATCGCAGTGAATATTCCATATCAGCAAATATAGAAAAATATCGATATTTCAATGACCAATTCCGGCGAAATTTTGTACTACACCCGAAGAGTAAGCAAGCAGGATTCAGCCATAATTCGGGTCATTATCACGTTCCATCATGAAACTGTGGAAGCAAACTTCATTTCAGATCGATTTATATGGAAAATCACGCATTTTTCATATGAAAAAATATCGATATTTCAATGAGCTATTCCGGCGAAATTTTGTACTACACCCGCAGAGTTAGCAAGCGGGAAATTGAGATTGGACCTTAATTCACCGAAGTCAGCCATAATTCAGGTCATTATCACGTTCCATCATGAAACTGTGGAAGCAAACTTCATTTCAGATCGATTTATATGGAAAATCACGCATTTTTCATATGAAAAAATATCGATATTTCAATGAGCTATTCCGGCGAAATTTTGTACTACACCCGAAGAGTTAGCAAGCGGGAAATTGAGATTGGACCTTAATTCACCGAAGTCAGCCATAAACCCTAGCAAATCGAAAGAATTTTCTCGGACAAAAAAAGTGAAGAGCAAAAAAAGGTCCTCATTTCCAAAATTGTTGAGGGTTCCGAAAAATATTTTAGAGGGGGTCATTCTAACCCTAGGAACCCTCGTCATCACCTATGACCTATTAGACTTTTTAAATGGATTTGTTATGATTGTAACACAAAATGGAATTCGCGTATGGAAAAGGTAAAAGATATATTATTCATTTTTATATAATTTAAGTTTTTGCAGGTAATACAATATATTTTAAGGTTCGTTAAGTTCAATTGGGTATTTTTTTTATTTGGTATATTTATATACTATTGAAGAAACCTTCAATATTTGGACAAGTTTGACCTGAAATCTTGTGAACATCATCGTTGAGAGTCTTAATCAGTTTTGTATCGTCTTGGGCAAATGTGTCCATCAATGCATTTAATTCTGTGGTATATTTTACTTGTTCCTTTGATTTTGCGGCATTTAATTGATTTATTTTTGTAATTACGGTAGCCATTTCCGACAAATAGCTCTCACTGATCAATTTTAAGATTTTTGCCAAATTTGGAACATGGGCAAATTGATGTAATAACTTTGATTCGAACGGTTGAATTTTCATAAGATTTTTTAAAATTTTCTGTCTTTTCGATTCTAAATATTCTTCTTGCGTGATTTGGTATGTTTGACAACACATTTGGTTATCTTCGATTGTTGATTTCAAAGCTGGTATCATGGATGAAAATGTATTTACTGCGTCATAAAACGAACTTATTTTGGATTGTAGAGCCTTGTCAGATACTTTACTGATGCAACTTTTAAGTTGATGTAATTGAGCATTCACAGGAACTTTTTGTAACGTGACCGATGCGACTGATGAACAATCAAATGCTTCTGAAAATTTTTGACCTTTTGATGTCGGTTCTAGTTTTGTATGGATTTTGCCATTTATTTGGTCAAGTACAGCAGATACAGTTTTGGCTTCCCTCAATTTGGCAAGGTCCTCTTCGTCTCCAGCAAATGAACATTGAATCTAATTTTATACAATAATGTTATTACCATTAGAATATATAAATGTAATAAAAAACAGATTTGTAATTTATTACTTACGTAGAGTGCAAAGACACCTACGAAAAAGATGAAGACCAAAGGACGCATTCTGTTTTACAAATACTGAAAGGCAATGAAATGAGATGATATTTATACTTTTTCCTTGAAGCAGCAATATAAAACCAGCTACATATTTTTACATTTACAATTTAAATTAAGTACTTTGAATTTGAAAAAAAAATATGCAAAAATATTAATACCATTAACATATGCTGCATATACAGTATTAAAATTTGAGAAATTCGAATTTCATCAAAAATTTTGCATTAGAAGGAGACATCAAATATACAAATAATGTTCCATTTTCGAGCCTTATTAACAAAAAATCGACCAAGTGAATTAAAAAGAAAAGCCTTATAGACGATCCATTTGCATTTTTCATAAATGTTTCGCACATTTTTTTTAAATTTTAATTGTGGTGAGCCGCTTCGATCCATGATCGCCTGACCTTCCCTCTGCCACCACTGCTTATTATGACTTAGATAAAGATTTTATTATTATTATTATTACGAAATTCATTTCAGCCATCCCTTTCTAATGGATAAATGTCCGATTCTTTCTAATGTATCATATTGTTTCCAATTTATATTGAACGTACTTATAATTTAAGAGTTTATTTAATTTATCATCTGCATTTGAAATGTAAATTTTTTTATCTCCTGGAGTATCTCCATTGAATTAGATTTTCTGATTATATTAGAATGGATTATTCCTATATGATAATCCACGTTCACTTACAATATGCTAATTTTTCTGACTCAAATTATTAAAAACGAAAAATTTAAACAGGTGAAAAGAAAATACAGAATCATTTATTGAGCACCATTGTAACAACCACCATGAGTCCCTGTATATTAATATAGGCGAGAAAAAAGTCGCACAATAATGCGCCATCTGTTGACGTGGTTATCAATGTATGTAACTACAAAGACGGAATTTTTAGATGGTGTCTTGACTAAATTTACATATCGGTTGTTTTCAACCACAATACGCACACGTCACCAGATGGCGATTCTACAATATGACGTCTCTCAGTCATGATGGTTGCATTGTAAAAAGATATGTATAAAGTAAAACAAATTAATATTCACAATTTAAAGTTTATTCATACAATTTCACGATGTAAAGTTTATTATGAACAAAGAATTTTATGTAACATATTAAACTTTGAGCTTTTAATTGTTTAAATCTGTACTATTATTACTGTACATAGTGAAACATAATGCTGCAAAAAATCTAGAATATTCGCAAGTAAATGCCGAAAACTTCATTATATTTATCGTATATTCCGTATATATTTTGTGTATTGAATTTTTTTTCTTCATTCTATTATGTACTGTGTATAGTGTGAATAACTGAAGCTTTATGCCGTTTGTTGAACAAGACCTATATATTGTGTATATTTTGGAAATCGTATAGTCATAGTAGCCCTCTAGTAAGCCCTTATTATTAAATAAGAAAATGTTTTTGAAGATATTTTTTTTAATTTCTTAATGAATTTCTTATAAATCTTCATAGAGAGCGTTAATGTCTTGGCATTTTTCCTTGGCAATTCTGTTGACATCATCATTGAGTGCCTTAATTACTTTTGCATCATCACGAGCAAAAACGTCCATTGATGAAATTAAATTGGCGGTTAACTTCTGTACATCGTTTGGTTTTGCAGAAACTAGTTCGACTATCCTGGCCATTACACCAGCTATTTCAATCGCATAGTTATCAATGGACAATTTCAAAAGTTGGGCTAAATTTGGTATATCAATGTAATGATGTAATAATTTCGTTTCGAATGGTCGAACTTTCTTTTGAAGCTTTATGAATTTCTTTTCATCAGATTGTGATTGAAATGAATCCAAATATGCTTCATGTGTTCGTTGGAATTTTTGACAGCATATTTTATTCTCTTCCATTGTTCCCTTCAGCGTTGGAATCATTGCTGAGAACATATTGACTGTATTATAAAATAGAATCAACTTTGGTCGAAGAGTTTTATCGGCAACTCTAGTAACAACACTTTTTAGTTGACTTAGTTGAGCATTCACCGCAATTGGTTTCAGCGCAACCGATTCAATTGAAGAGCATTCAAATAGTAATGAGAACTTTTTTGTAGATTTGGCCGCTTCATTTTTTTTATCGGCCTCAGCTTTAATTTTTCTTAGCACAGAGGACGCCGTTCCTTTTTTCAATAATTCGTCAAGTTCTTCCTGAACTGTTCGCAGGTTTGCGAATGATGATTGAATCTAAATGAAACAAAAAAAATGAAAATCGACCAAATATTTGTATCTAACCATGAGTTATAATATCTTCACTTACGTGGAGTGCACAAACACCGAATAAAAAGATAAAAAATAATGAACGCATTTTGCTTTAAACGTAGCACACGACTAATTGAATACACCACCATTGAATCATATTTATACGCATTGGGTGGAACAATCATGTAAAATAAATTACGTTTTAATCATATTTCTTCGATTATTTATTAGTATTTTATAATAAAGTTCACTTGTTTCAAATACATTACATTTACATTTATTTTTTGTGACGCAAATAAGTTTCTGTTCATCAGCATAAATTGCGACTCGAAAAGAATACATTTCCAACCCAAATCATTCAATGACAAAATATTCAAATTAGGAAAATGTTGGATACCAAGTGGATGGCTCTAAGAAGAGACACATTGCGAATGGTTTACATTAATGCCATCTGTTGGCTTGGAGAGATGGGAGAGATTGTGACATTTTTGACGTAATGTATTTTACGTATTCATGTTTTTGGCAAGTCATTTGTCAATTTGGAACGTCCTGTTTCAATATCAATCAAATCACCAACCCATTTGTTAGGTTACATAAAATATTTAAAAACAAACATAAAACAATACACAGCTTTTGGTAAAAAAACAAAATAAAGAGATAAAATAAACTTAAAGAATAAATTACTGATAAAAATATATCAGTCTAATATTTATTTCTCACCATTTTTATAACGCTATTTACAGCGACTTCAAAATGCGAAAAATGACGAAATGTCATAAATCTAAATTGACAAATGACTTGTCAAAAACATGAATACGTAAAATACATTACGTTAATTTGGTTGGAGACGTCGGAGAAAAATAATATTTCATCATTTTCATCATAAAAAAAAAAATATAGTTTTGTTCAAAAATTCAAATAAAATCAAATTTAAAAAATATATTATTATTATAAAGGAAAAATATATTACTTAAAATAAAAATAAATAATAAATATGTGCATTTGTGTTACGTTACATAGAGCAAATTTGTTTACATGCTAGAGATGTAAATTTAGTTGAGGGATGTCAGGTATGATGGCGCTGATTAGCGAGACTCGCATAAAAAAGTCTCCAATCTCATATATGTGTCATCCACGTGTTGGATACAATTAGATCATTTGATAAGTTGAAAGATAAAAATGAGAAAGTATTTTCATGTCAGGTTATGAATGATTTAGGGAAGCTTATATTGTTAAAAGACAATATCCATTGGCATTGTAAGAAATGCTTCAGAATTAACTGAGTTTTGTAAGTTTTATCTCTATGTGTTTGATTGTTACCTTACACGAATGGCAATCAAGTACAATGGTGTTAATTTTCTGAAAACCTCATAGCGAAGACGAAATTTGTAAAAATACTCCAAAGAAGTAAAATGAGAAATATCCAAAGTATTAAATTGTTCAAATGAGTATTCATATTTTTGATGAATTTGAAAAAGGTAATGAAAGGAATTTAAATTTGAGTAAAACACATTTTATCATTTTTATTGGATATTCGAAATGTATTTTAAAAAATGGAAATGTGTTGTAACATTTGAACTTTCTAATCTCTTCAAACTATCAAATTTTTAATGTTAACAATGAAATTCAATTTCAATCGTTATAAATTTATGTTTTTCTCATTGATTTTTATGCTTCGATGATTTTGTTTAAATTTCAATGCTTCAATCCATCATAGAAGCTGATGATATTTGGGCATTTTTCATTAACAATCTTATAAACATCATTATTTAGATTCTTAATTACGTCACTGCGGGCAATTCCGTCCATAATTTCATTTAATTGTGCTGTATGTTTTGGCTTATCTTTTGGTTTTGCGGAATTTATTTCATCAATTTTAGTCATTACTGATTTAATTTCAGCCGCATAACTATCAATGGTTACCTTCAGCTCTGTTGCTACTTTTTGTAAATTAATAAAATGATGCAATAAATCTGATTCGAATGGTTGAATTTTCACCAAACTCTGTCCCAATTTATCTTTATCCGATTGTATGGAATCCAGGAATTGTTTTTGTTTTGTTTGGTATAATTCACAGCATTTTTTATACTCTCCCATTGCTGTTTTCAGCGTTTGCATCATGTGTGAAAATTGATTGACCGAACTATAGAATGAATTCAACTTCGATTGAAGAGCTTTATCAGCAACTTTACCAATATAACTCTTGAGTTGATTTAATTGAGCATTCACGGGAACTGGTTTGAGCGTAACAGATTCTAGTGAAGTGCAATTAAATGTTAATGAAAACTTTTTGTCGACCGCTCCAGATAGCAAATGATCTTTTTGTAGCACACCAGATCTTGTACCGGTTTTCGCCAACGCTTCAATTCTCTCCTTCACTCCAGCAAATGATGACTGAATCTAGTTTTTTAAGGAAAATAAATAAGAAAAAAAAAAACTTTTTTATTCAAATCTGTATAGCCACATGTTCGGTTTTAATGCATTTATCAACGCTAATTAAGTTGATGCGATTGAATTAAGTTAAAAAATGCTTATTGATATATACTTTCCATTTTTATTAAATTTGTCACTTACGTGGAGTGCGCAGACGCCAGCAAAAAATATGAAGATCGATGAACGCATTTTATTTTAGTTGTAGAATACAATAATGTATAGTTTCGTACAACAACACTATATTTATACTGTTTTCATGGAAAAGTTCCACATATACCATGCAAATTATTAAAAGTTATGTAACAATTCAAAGAAACTTGTTTTTGAATTGGAAGAAAAAGAAACGGTAATAGAAATGAATATTCATATAAATTACACGCATCATCTATATTTCACATTTACTCATTTTTGAATTTCAAATATACCAAACATACGCTCAGCATAAATTATTTGAAAATGGTACTTTGCATTTATTATAATTATTTTTTATTCGTTTTACTGTTGCTTTCTGTAAGTTGAAATCGAATTGATTCCACAGCAGCTAGGGGCGTATCCAGAACTTCATGACAGGGGAGTTTTCAAGAAAGTCAACGTATAAAAAACATTGAGACCTTATTCCTATGCGAAAAGAAATATTTTTTCGTCAGTGGCGTCGCCTAACGTGTTGGTTGACAATGCCAATGGCAAACCAGTGAATAGCTGTATGTCGAACAATTGTGAAATCATTCGCACCAATACATACTAACACAACGAACTTCGTTTTTGTGTGCGCTACACTTAGGTGCTTGTTGTGTTTTGTGTATTGATGTGAATTGCGACTCAATCACAATAGACGGCGCAACGAACAAATGTTTCAAACTTTTCTCCAAAAAACGTCAACTGAAAGGTCTTTCTGATAAAAAATAAACAATATAAAATAGTATAAATTGATCTTATTCAATTGATATAGTGTTACAATAACATCCGTCTATTTTTTGCTTTTAATACCGAGAAGAGTATTTAAATAACGCAGTTAATGAATAAAAAATGAAATTAAAAGAAGCGACTGCAAATATACTTTAAAACAAATGGCTTGAGCGGCTGGATTCAATCACTACTTTAAGGAATCTCTTTTGCCTATTGTAAATTCTCTAGAAGTTATACAAGAATATTCGAATAGAGAATCATCTACAAAAGCATTTTATATCTACTCTCAAATTTGGAAAATTTTATTGCTGCTATGATAGTTATTTGTGATTTTTTTTTATAACACATCCCCTTTCTGTATCTTAGCAAGCGAAGAATACTGACTTAGCAAGTGTATTGGAAATGACGATCATATTCTTGGTTTGTTGAGAACTATCTGATTAAAGACAAAATTGTGCTTTGCAAGCCGACGGATTGAGACATTTGACAATGTACTGTATATTCATTCATGCACCAATCGTCATGAAATTTTGTCTAGATCATTTTTTTCGTAGAAAATTAAGTCCCAATGAAGACCCAATCGGGTCTTAATTAGGTTTTTAAGCCCCAATTTAGTCCCAATTAAGTCCCAATTGGGTCTTCATTTTGTCTAGATCCATTTTTTCGCAGAAAAATAAGTTTCTCAGGGTTTCACTACTGTTGAATTGAAAATAAAAATTTCGAATATGACAAATGTACACTAATCAATAGTCTGTTGTTCTTATATAATAGTTTTTTCTATAGTAAATTTAGTAAAAATATAGAAAATTATCGATATTTCAATGACCAATTCCGGCAAAAAATTCGAGATAGCTCCGGTTCGTTGATGTGTATGATACAGCATTCGTTGCTGCTTATATTGCATGTAAAGAAGATTAATAAAAAGAAATTCAGAAGAGTGTCAATAAGAGCGCACACGCGATGTAGGCGGATATATTTGATGTCCGTTTGATATTTTTCAGGTAAGCGGACATTCAATGAACGAATATGAATGTTCTGGCAGATATAAATGAATATGTAAAAAGTATATATTCGTCTCAGCACGAATAAGTCGACGTACACGCATGAGAAAAGTTCTTGTAAGTTCTTAAGATGTAAGAAATTCGTACAATGTACTGCGTACCACATCCCCACATTATCAGGGTAAAAAACCGTTGTTCTTGAATCTCTAGGGCCAAAACGCGTTGAAAAATCATTTTTGTACATTTTAAAATGTTGAGCTGATTATAATACTTTAATGCGCATAGTGTGCGGAAAAGAAATTTGGAACTACATCAAAACTTACGGGTACGGATGAAGTTGTCATCTTATGAAGTTATTACAAATTATGATTGAATTTAGAATTATACAATGAACACGATCGGGTAGTATGTCATTGAAAAAATTGTAAAATTATTGTGATATATTCCGTCTGTGAACAGACGGCGAAATAAATAATAAATAATGAATAAATAAAAAAAATACTACACTTTAGTACGACAATAAAAAAAATTGAGTTTTTTGTATACCATTAGAAAGGTTTTGACAAGTCCTATAATAATGACTCAATAAATGCTGCCATACTCCCATAGCATGTAAGGTTTGTCTTTCGGGAAATAATTTGAATTTCATGAAGATCACTCCATCAGTACATCTGGGGGTTTCCGCGACTTCAAGAAAGTTCACAAAAATATATTGATTTTCAAAGTTGAACATTGAACGACGTAAAATCGATAACATTGATGATATGCATATTGTTAAATATTCTTAATTTCCTATTTAAAACCAAAAATTAAAACGTACACGAACATATCACGTGTAACTTAAATTTACTTGGAAGTACGATCAAGTGACTCAACACATAAGCTGTTCAAATAAAATAATACTGAACAGACTGCGTATATAATATTTTAATTTGACGGTGCTACTCTAACAGTATAAATTAGACATTTCGATTGAAAGATTGAAGTTCTTTTATTTATCATACAAGTTTTCCTATATTGTTGAATTTGTAAAAATGCTACAATTCAGAATATTTCTTTTGTGTTCAACGGTATTAAATATAGTGAGCTGTATGAATGAAACGGTTGTAACCGTCAACGGTCTGATTCGAGGTAAACTTCAAAAAACAATTTGGTACAATAAACCGTATTACTCGTACAAAGGAATACCATATGCCAAGTCGCCAGTTGATGAGCTTCGATTTAGGGTAAAAACTTTCATTTCTAAAAATAAATAAGTATTTTGCTAGACCGAAAAGTAAAAATTAGAATAATAATGAAAGCAGGCAAATGGTTTAATTATATAAATGTTTTTACAGGCACCTGAACCTGTGGAGCCATGGTTCGATAGACCATTGGATGCTTTTGAATATGGTCCATTGTGTGCTCAACGAGCGAGACGAAAAACTAGCGAAGATTGCCTTTTTCTAAACATATTCGTTCCTGGTGAGGACGCATACGTATAAATTTTTGAAAAGAAACATTAAAAAAAAAAAAAATTTAATTTATATTCCAACAGTTGTTGAAGCAACAAAAAACTTACCCGTATTGTTTTATATTCACGGCGGATTTTTTATGTCTGGAGTTGGCGACCAAGGTCCTGACTTTTGGATGGAGAATGAAGTTATTCTCGTGACTGTAAACTATCGCCTCGGAATATTTGGATTCATGTCCTTGGGAACACCTGAATATTCTGGTAATATGGCATTAAAAGATCAGCAGCTTGCGTTGAAATGGATCTATGAGAATATCGAAGCATTTGGTGGAGATAATCAGATGATCACAATCTCTGGTTCTAGTGCTGGTATAATTTTACATTTAACACTTTAAACAACAGAAGTATACGGACTTCATTTTTAAATTTAAGGCGCAAATTGTGTTGGTTTACATTTGATCAATGAAGAGTCGTCAAAATATTTCAGTCAAATCCTCAGTATAAGTGGAGCACCGAATAAAGCTCACAACTATCAGAAAGGTGACCATCGATGTCTGATGGAACACTTTTACAATAAACATTTCAACAGCTACCCTAATGACATTGAACTGATAGATTTTCTTAAAAAAGCCGATGTCAAAGAAATAATTGATTTTCTTTATGAAACATTTAAACCATTTGAATCGCCATGGAGTCCCGTGGTTGAAAGTAAGGAATATACAACATTCGTATTTTATATTATTTTCAACCTTTAAAGTTGAACCTTTGACTATTTTCTGTATTCTATTTTATAGAACCGAATGCAATACGGCCGATTATTCTTGATGACCCAATGACTGCACTGGAAAAAACAAAAAACATCGAAAAAACTGCATACTATACTATTACACAATATGTACGTTTCGATTAATAAATCAACATAGTCAGTCTATGTATTTCGGATGGATATCCATCCGAGATATTTTAGAATATCTGGATATTTAACGCAACTGCACAGAGCCAGAGCTGTGTGCGTCGCACATATAATCTACGGTATGTCGCTACACGTAAAATACAGACACAGTGTGACTGTGTACGTGCGACACTTGATACACATATACGTCGCGACATACCGTAGATTCTATTTGAGACGCACACAGCTCTGGCGCTGTGCAGTTGCGTTGAATATCCAGATATTCTAAAATATCTCGGATGGATATCCATCCGAAATACATAGACTGAACATAGTTAATTGTTTGTAAAAACTTTACTATGTGTGGGTAATATGTTTACCTGCCATCACTGGCAATAGGTTTTTTGCTGTCTGAGTAGCCCCGGATATTTGTAGCGCCTGTACAGCATTGCCGCACGCCACTGCGTGTGGTACAAACAAAGTGGCTATGACCAAGGAAATGGCATGGAATGTAAAATGTAGCAAAAAACCTTAAACATTTTTCGGATTAAACCTTATAATTGTTTCAATCTCTATTAATAATGTACATGAGATCATAAGTAGAAAATGTGTGGTTCAAGGGCTACCTGCCAAGGTCGGGTTACGATTTGCACCTCACCATCTCATAAACATGTCATTCCCGTGGTTATTTACAGCTGATATTTGGTTGCACCCACAATGGAATTCCATTCCAAATTTAATTCATTTGTTTCTTCCCCTTCAGGAATTTTTGTCATCATACTTAATTGGTGGAACAAACTATTCAGACCCTGAAGTCGTACGCCAATTCATCAAAGATTTTAATGTTGTTTTACCAATTTTTGGATATAAATCAATAATTGAACAGAAAGTAAGTGAACATATTTCTAACATTAAATGTATTGTTGAGGAAATCAGAGTTTCAATTTTTTTTAAATATATTTACAATACTTTTTTTTCTAGCCGTATTACCTTCAAAAAATAATGAATAAACTTCGCAATTTTTACTTCAAAAATTCTTCTTCTGATCAAGAGCTACTAAAGCAACGTCTTGTGCTAGACTCAGACTTTGTTTATGGTTATTCTATCGAAAAATGGATGGAGCGACATGTTGCGATTTCGAAAAAAGATACCTTTTACCATCGGTTTGTAAAGAAATGAATATAAAAATTTGAGTTTATAGAAATTAAGTATGTCAAATCGCATTTATTTAGTTCCTATGGAATTAAAATCAAAGTTCAGTTTTGATTCTATTGTGTTCAATAAGTGTGAAAAGTTGATGAATGAACTTACTAAAACATTATATTCGCGATAGGTTTTCACTTCAAACCAAATTAAATATGCATTCAGAGTACCCAGGTGCTGGCCATGAAGACGAAAGACACTTTATATTTGGGTAGCTTTGTGTAAATACTAAATTTATCAAATATAATATTATATAGTGGCAAATTTTTACAGACGTACAAATAGCAGCTCCTCTAACACTTTAATACAAATAAAAGAGAATAAGGACACTGACAAGGATTGTGCAATAGCTTTTAATGCGATGAATGTGATCCAAAAGTTATTCTCAAACTTTATAAAATACGGGTAATACACAAAATCGCTTTGTAATTGCATGTTAGATTATCGTTTTGTAAATTACAGTAAACCAGTACATAATGGTGATCTGATGGCCAAAGAATTCAAACCGATTCAACGTGCAAGCAAATCAGACGAATTTAACTATATTGATGTGACAAATGATGGTTTAGTTGCAGGCAAAGCACTGTCTCAAGGCCGAACCAAGTATTTGGATAACATAATCGAAGAAGTGAAACGATTGATAGAAAAGCATGGTGACGTACCAAAGAAAACTCCAATTGAAATACAATGTGAGAAAATGAATCCAGGTCGCATGATTCCATTCTCAGAGAATGCTGAGCAACCAAAAAATGGAATATTTTCAGAATATACACAGAAGATCATTAGATCTTTTAAGAATTCAAGGTTTTTAAACGGATGCGCCAATTGAATGGGAGGATGCTGCGCATCATCTGAAGATTTTGAAAAAAGCATAAAACATCTGAAAAGAAATTAATCTTAGGAACATTTATATGAAAATATTCTGCTTATATTTACCAATAAAAGTCTCTCCTCCATGTAAATCAACTCACTCAATGTTCGATACCACATAAAAGCAGATATCGTCAAATAAACACAAACAGTCGCGTTCTTTGATACTAAAATTATACAGAGATTTGTGCCCACTATAAAGTATCAAAATTAATTATGATGAAAGCTACATGTATCGATCCAGCGTGCAATTTTATTAAAAACTTGAACCGAAAATAGATCGAAAAAAGTTGTACAAAGCTCATACAGCTATTCATAAACAGAGGGCACACCAATCATAATTTCTTATTTGTTATGTGGCCAATGAAAATGGCATGATCGCATATAATAACACATCAATCACGATTTATCATGATCGTCGGATAATCCTTAATTCTTCTTTGGTGAAATGGAGTCTTCAAAATTCAAGGTTTATATTTTAATAAGTTCCCGCCAATATAAATGTTGCCACTCACTTCTTTTCTCTGAGGAACAAGAAGAGCATGGTCCACCTCGCAGTAATGACAATATTCGAAATTAAAAAAATAATAATTAAAATTTATATCAACAATGACCGTTTTTTTAACTTTTAATATTTTGCCTCTCCGTGCTCTTCAGAGCGATCCTCCTCACATATATTGCTCTAAAAAAATTGTGAGAAAATTAACTTTTGGCATAATTTTAATTCAATAAATAACGCATTGAAATTTATCCGAAGATTAATATACATCCGAACTTCATATGTAGCCAAAATCAATTCAATCAACCGCAACCACAATGACAAATGCCTACAATAAATTTGGATGAAACTAAAGATATAAATTTTCATTTGATTATGGCTATTCAATGCTCAAATTTATGTACTCTGAGTTGTTATTTTGAATTTTTTACGAATATTTGCATCCAAAATTAGATGACTTATACCACAACGACGGACGGAATTCAACTATCAATAGAATTTTCGAATGAAAAGAAGTTCCTTCATCACATTGAGTCGATCTTGATGTCATGGTAGAATGTAATTTCTTCATTCGAAAATTCTATCATAGCGGTTGCTGATATTGCTGTACTGTGAAATAAAAAAAGATAAAAACAAACCACATATTTTTGAGTTTTTTTAGTTTTAGAGTGGATTTTGTGTTCTATTTAAATTTATTTGATTCCAAGACGGCATTCCGCACTATTACATAATTAAGTATTTATGATTAAATAATTCACATTATGTTTAAGTTTAAAATCGGTTACATTTCACTTGAAAATATAAAGAAAATTAAATTATAAATCATTGTGTATTTGTAAAAAAAAAGCTGTTCGTATATAATCAACGAATACTGTTAACGATGACAGTTAAAGGCACTGAATTTTTCGATCGTTGCATGACCTTCGAAATTTTTCAAGAAATTAGTTTCGCGTTTTTCTAGTTAAATAATCAATAATCTGTTCCACACCGTTGTTGCTTGTAAACGAATTTATTGGAAATTAAATTGCAACAAATTGCATTAAGCGATAAATTTAGCTGAAATGAAATCAGGGACTTTCGTTACATGAGACTCTTGCCTCGCACACATACCGATTCTCCAAATGACTGAATTGAACATTGAGGAAATCGTATTGTTTTATGAAGATGATTTCGTTTATTAAAAAGAACGGCAACCCGAGAAATCGAAATGAAAATAAATTAAAATAAAACATTTCTTTCCTTGGGCTTTATTTTAAATGGTTGCCGACGGTTACAGTTGCGCGGTTTGTTACTTGTTCATATTGTTGTTGTGTTTTTCGTTCGGTGGTTTGCAGCACGAGCGGTAATTTTTTTTTTTTTTTGTATGGTTGCATGATATCCGATCAATCAGAATGGGTGGCAGTAGTGTATGAAACATAGTAACTGTGAAGACATAGAAACATTAATGCAAATTTAACTCATGCCAGCAAAAATATCGATCAAATGTATACGTTACATTTTCTTAATCTTTATTATAAGTGCGTACAAATTGGCCAACCGAGTTTTCCTCGTTTTGTTTCATTCGTCTCCGTCTCTTTATTTGTGGGCATTCAAATGTATGCGGGGGGTTCGCGGGGCCAGTAGCCATATCGCCCAATGTGAGGAGAAGATGATTATAGCTGTGAAACAGGCGGAGACCGTAGTGTGTGCCCGCGCTTGCGCGCACACCAGAGTTAAAGACATTAAACATAATTTAATTTATCAGACATTTGTTTTTGTAATTCATGATATGAACAAATATGAATCATGTTGTTCAAAGGTTCGCGGCAGTTTCACACTCCATGTGATCTCTTCGTTTATCTTCTTGTTGTTTTTTCGTCGTCGTCGTCGTCATCTTCTTAAAATTTTCATATATCCCATGAATTAATTTATGTAATTGATGCTTATCTTCACTTTGGTCATATCTCTCATGGTTCGTTTATATATTTCGATAAACTGCAACAACTGCAACGAGTTCGAATTTGTGTTTCGATCCATCATAAAAACTGGTTTCTTTTTCAATACTCCCAAGTTGAATGCAAGTGTGTGACTTTTCTCTCGCTCTCTCGTGCAATGTACAATTTGGAAAATTCCAATGATAAATGATTTAATTCATCTATAAATAAATGATTATATATAAATAATAATAAAAAAAAATAATTATAAATGATATAATGCCCAAATATGAATTTGTAATTATTAGACAGTAAATTGTTGACATGAACCGTATTGAGTTTGTAAATCAAATTGAGCATCTTGATTATCCTGATCACTTCTGTTTGTATTAACAAATTACACATGCCAAACTAGATTCAGATCCATGTACTTGATTTGGCGATTTTTTATTTTACAATTGCAACCTGTTGTTAATGTGCGATAGCATCATTGCCATCAGTTACGGATATATTTATCTGATTAACATATAATAATAATTGTGATTGTATCATTTTAAAGAGGGACAGACAGTAGTTCAGCTCATTTAATTGGTATAATAACATCATACACAGGTCATGAGTTGGATGCAAGCGAAAGACTAAGCGAAAGCAAAAAAAAAAAATCGGTAAAAATCATCGATTCTGAGGCAGACGACTTTTATTTTAAAGTTTTTTTTTTGTGGAGCTCGTTTCGAATCGGGTTAGTAAAGTAAATCGTAAACCATACACATATTTAAAATTGAATAGGTGCTAATATCACGTAGTGTTTGACCTATCGCAAAATCGATTTTCACTTCGCATCGAATAAAAAATGACCTCTTCATTATTATTCTTATTCAATATTACGTTGAGAAAAAATATATATAATTAATTAGCACTTTGTGGGTTTTGTGTAGTCTTTTATTTTTCATTTGTGTCCTTTCTATATGCCATCAAGTTGTGACCTTAATGTCAATTCATCTTTTTCGATTTCAAGTGCATCGTGCAGTGGCATCGGCAGACACTGGTTTTTCTTTTTTACATTTTCCAATTTATTAAATTGGAAGCAGTTTTCAATGCACGAGAGATTAGCAAATGATGCGGAAATGGAAATTCGTTTATTCTTATTGGTTCGTACAAATAGAGCACCATTATGGAAAAATGTGTGGTAAAAAAGCGCTTTACTCGTTTAAGGTACTCCGGGTATTTTTTTTCTTGTCTATTTTAGCCATTTAAAAATATCGGACGTTCGAATAGTGAAGGTAACCGTGACTACATCGTGATGACACGACCATGTTGAAAATGAAACGAGAAAAAAACCATCTTCCAAAAGAGAATGAGAATAAATCCGAAAGTTTCGCAATCGTTTCACGAATGCAATGAATTTTGCAATTGTCTCATAAGTATTGTTATCACACGCTCTGTCACATAAAAACACCGCCCAAAATATATGCGCAATTCCTTCGATTCACTTCAATAAAATATAATACCGACATGTAATTCTTAATTCCGACGATGTTCTGAATTTCAAATTAGTGTGTCGATTTTTTTTATACCACATTTTTTTTAACCTAACAAGTGCATTCATTTTGAGAGCAACATGAGACTTAATTAAGTGGCTGCATGGATTTCTTCAATAGCATAAAAAAATTATGATGAAACATCAAAAATCCATAAGCTGTCAATCGCAACACATTTGATTGATTTGCAGGCACTGTGTGACACAATGTCTATGAAGTTGAAATCTCGCACATCGTTTGTCGTGCTAACGATATGAATTTTGAGGTACAACGTGTAAATTGGCATTGTGGTTTTTTCCCCACATTTTCAACTCATTTACCGACAATAAATCAAAATTGGTGTTTCTTTTGGCTGGCAATACTTTTTCCATAAACATTGGCGCACATATATACTCGAATATTTCCCATTTGGCATCGGAAAATCTATTGATATGAGTCGCATGCAATTCACATTCTACATTCATTCGGGTAAATGTATTTGGCGAATATGAAATGATTCGTTTTTTTACATTATCCGAGATCAATTTAATGTGCTACACTATTCATTCCATTCTGCTGGATGTTAAACATTTTGGATGCCACAACATCTTCGTAACAACTTTAAAACGGTTAACTCTTAACTCAATGAATTCAAAAACAAAAATCGCTTTAATTTGAATTGTAATTTAGTTTGTGTATGCTTGTATTTGCAATCAATGCAAACCAACTTGAATAAATGTTTATCTCGATGGGCCTTGCAAAGAATTACATAACACGTACGCTTGCTTTGAAACATTTACTTCGTTGCATTACTGCGATTAAGAAAAAAGAGAAAGAACATACACTACATTCAAATCTATTGATAACATGTTTGGATTTAATAAAATGCTCTCTCTATCTCATCTCATCACAACTATTTTATGAAAAATGGTGCCGCCGAATTGAACTAATATGATTAGTTTTAAGTGTAGATTGTTGTGACATCGATCTTCGTTTATCATTCGCTAAGCGCAGTTTTTACAGATGAAAGTATATCTCGCATGTCTTGAAACACTTAATGCCAACTCGCAATGAAGATGCAACAAATGGTTGTGTGCTAAACTGGCGCAAAGACAAGAGTTTGCCGTATTTTGACATTTCAATTGATTTCATTATTATTGTTG